ATACAAATCAAAACCACAGTGAGATACCACCTCATGCCAGTCAGAGTGGCTAAAATGAGGAAATCAGAGAACACGAGATGCTGGTGAGGATGTGGAGAAACGGGCACCCTCCTTCACTGTTGGTGGGAATGTAAACTGGTGTAGCCCCTCTGGAAAACAGTGTGGAGGTTCCTAAAAAAATTAACAGTAGAACTCCCCTATGACCCAGCAATAACACTGTTAGGAATCTACCCAAGGGATACAGGAGTGCTGATGCATAGGATCACATGTACCCCAATGTTCATAGCAGCACTCTCAACAATAGCCAAAACATGGAAAGAGCCTAAGTGTCCATCAACGGACGAATGGATCAAGATGTGGTTTATCTATACCATGGAATACTACATGGCAATGAGCAAGAATGAAATCTGGCCACGTGTAGCAACATGGATGGACCTTGATGATGTTATGCTGAGCAAAATAAGTCGGGCAGAAAAGGACAAATATCATATGTTTGCACGTATAGGAGGATTAGGAGGAACTTAACGAAGGACCATGGGGGTGAAGAAGGGGGGAAATGGCAGGGGAAACGGGGAGAGGCAAACCATGAGAGACTCTTGAATGCTGACAAAAACTGAGGACTGATGGATGTTGGGGGGACAGGGGGATGGGCACGGAGGGGGGCACTTGTGGGGATGAGCACTGGGTGTTATATGGAAACCAACTTGACAATAAACTATTTGTAAAAAAAAAAAAAGTATCCTGGTCACGTGCTCATCCTTGGCTCAACCACGGGGCCCTTTGTTTGCTAAACTGGGTCATATGTCCTTACCTACGGCAGGACATGACTGTTCTAGGGAGTAATTTCTCCCTAAAAAAGATGTCAGGCAAATGTAAAAAGCAACAAAAGTCCATCACAGGCAGTGTCAACTTACAGAAACAGCCCAAGTGACTGAAGCTGCAATTCTAGTTCTGCCTAAGTTTGCCATAAACCTCAAACCAAGTATTTATGACTTCATTTTCAGTGAGGAAATTCTGATCCCATCTACCTCCAAATGTGGTATTTGGGTATGGATGGAAAAATATGAAGATCCCTAAACAAATATTATATCTAATTACAAAGATATATTATTAAAATATGGTAATAAAATTAAGATATGCCAAACTTGAGCAAATAACTTCTGAAGTGAGTTTTCAGTCAACACTATCTCTAAAAATTCCCTTAGAAAATATGAGATAAATTAATGAAACCTTATTTTCTCAAGTGATCTAACATTTTATATTAATATTTCCTAAGAATAAACAAAGCACAAGTATAAGTTTATTGATTTTTAGCAAAATAAAATGACATAAGTAGCTTTTTAAAAACTAATGGATAAGTTTTCTTGTTTCCTTGTCTCCAGAGCATTTGGCATTCTTTATCAGCTGGTACATAAAAGAGTAGAAAAATAAGAGATTGTCATATTGTCCTTGGTATTTCTCTTTTAATATATCAGTATGGTAGTCTACCAGAAAGTAGTAAATGGCTTCAATTGTGGAAAGGAAGGTGTCTGGCTTTCCTTTTTGATGGCGCCAAAAGCAAGTTTTTCTTGTTTTCAACTCAACTTGTAACAGTCCTGCCAAAAACAAATAAGAAAAGTATAAATATTTCTTCTTAACCACAGGATCTGGCACAATAATGATAATTTCTCTTATTATTTAAAGAATTTTTCAAAGAGAATAGATAAGTTCCTTCAACCGGAACCAAATAGGATATCTTCTTAAATGCATTAAGGTATATAAAAAAACAATATAAAACACAGAATAAAATCTTATACATAAATCTTTTAACATGAGTTAAAAGTAGTCAACTATTAAGATGCTATTTTGTATCTACCAATATCTTTTTAAATTTTAACCACTTGCAGGACTAAATTCACCAATATTCAGAATAATCAAGGGTTTCATTTCCTTGATAAACTGACGTTTCAAACATCATTCTAAAACTCACTGAAAGAGATAGGCAGGTTAATGTTCCTTCATATGGTTAAGGTTTGTTTCTGGACTATCACTTTTTGGCTCTATATTCATGAACAGAGCACCTAAAATTGTTTCTTTAGCTCTGCCACATCTGTGTGTGAGGACTCAATGGCACAGTCAGCTACAGTGTCTTACTCCTGTGCATTTAAAGAGGAAATAATTCACGAAATCACAGAACAGTACTTTAACCTGTTAAAACTCAGATGTCAATATACAAACCTAAAATGCTTTTAGCACCTTAGACCAGCACTTAGACTCACATTATATTTATTTTGCTATACTTTTTATTAGGCATATTTATTTCAAAGTGAGAAAGTAATACTAAAGGGAGAAGGTAGTATTAAAAGAAGCATCCCTACCCAGATTGGGAATTTCTGAGTTACCAATGATTTCCTACTATCTCACCTCTCTTTAGCCTAAAAGCTACTTCAGAAATGCAGCAAAGAAATAAATACTCTAAAAAAATTAAGATCTTAAGAGATATGGAGGATCAAATGTCTAATAGGAGTCCCAGGGGGAGAACAAAGAAAATGGAGGAGAGATAGCATTTAAAGAGATAATGTCTATGACTTTTCCAGAGACTATTTTTAAAAATGCAAAGCCACAGATCCATAAAATAATGAATCTCAAGCAAAATAAATCTACAGAAATCAATGCCTAAGTGCTTCACACAGTAGTGTAATTTCAAAAGAACAAAGTTAAAGAGATTTTTAAAGCAGGGATTAAGAAGGGGCAGATCATATACAAAAGAATGATAATCAGAATGATAGGAGACTTTTTATCAGCAACAGTAGAATACTGAAGGCTCTGGAATAAAACCTTCAAAGTGTTAAAAGAAAAAACTAACAAACTCAAATTGTGTACTCAGCAGAACTATATATTAATAACAGGAGTGAAAACATTAGTAAAGAAACAAAAACTGAACATATGCCAACAGGAAACCAAATGAAAGGGATTTCTAAGGAATGTATTTCAGCAAAGACAATCTGGGTTAAAGGAAAGGTGAACAAAGAAAAGGATAAACATCTATGCAAATACAATAAACACTTCCTGAATGAAACAAAAACAATAATAATATCTAATTTGTAAGCTGAAGATAAAGAACAAAACAAAAATAATAACAATAAGTTAGTAAACATGGAAGAAGTTGAATCAAACATTAAGTCTGCTAAATGGTTAGAGTGTTCAAAAGGGAAGGTTAAAATCTTATTTAAAATACTGTTTGACTTAAAATAAGTCACATGTGCACAGTACAATTTTCTAAAAGAACCTAAATACAAATATTAAAAAAAGAGAAAAAGATAAACCCTTTAAAAAAGTCAAGAAAAAAAAAGTAAACAGGACAAATAAAATTAAGATGGTAGAAATACATCCAAAAATATCAATACTCATAACAAACATGAATAGATGAAACCCGCCATGTAGAAGACAGAGATTCTGAGATTGAAACATGGGATGACCTCTACAGGCCTTCTCCCAACACACTGAAAGTCTGACCTGACACAGTAATAAAAACAATAAATTAATTAGATGTGTAAGAACCAGAAAGGAAGAAACACAATTGACATAACTTATACAAAAAATACTTTTAAAACCAATAAACAAATTATTAAAAATACAGTATCTTAGGGTAGAAAGAATTTAAGCAAGACATAGAAAGTGCTCAACATGAAAGACTGATAAATTTTATATCAAGAATTTCTATTCCTCAAAAGATACCATAATGAAATTTAAAAGATGAGTCAGAAGCTACAAGAAGATATTTGAAAACATTATTATCTACATTCTAGTAGATATAAAGAGTTCCTACAAATCAATTTTTAAAAAGTTAGAAAAATGCACATAGTTGTTTCACAGAATAGGATGTGTGTGGTCAAATAAATGAACAAAATGATGCTCAACCCAATTATTAAGGGAAAGGCAAATTATGATCACAATGAGATCCTATTTTATACCCACTAGACTGGAAAAAATCAAACATTTGACAATACCAAGATAGGAGGTGTCATGGATCAATGAGGACTCTGACACATTAATGATGGGTATATTAATTTGTATACACTTTGGAAAACAGTTAGCATTATCTTGTAGAAATGAGCATTCTCATATGCAACATCCCAACAATTCCACTTCAAAGTATGTTTCCTTAAGGAAACTTGTACGTGCATAAGAGTATTTGTAGATGCACAATTTGTAAGTGCAAAAACTAGCATTAACTCGTGTTTCAATAGACTAGATCAACTGTAGTATATTCACACAATCAGATAATACAAAGCAGTGAAAATGAGTAAATTATCGTTCATCATGTAACAACATGGATAAACCTTAGAAACAAAGTGGTAACTTCAGATTGCAGGTCCCAGGGAATACAACACGCAGGTCAAAATAAAGAAAACTAAGTAATATGAAGATTATGAAAACTGATGCATATAATAAAACACAAAGGAATGATGAAAACATAATTGAGGAGAAAAGTTACCTCTGATCAGGGGAGAAGTGGAGTCACGCAGGGAAGAACATAGGTCGTTAAGTTACTGATACGATTCTGGTGCTTGGGTTCTTAATTATTCATTATATCACCATGTGCTATAACATTATATCATATATATGCTTTCACATATATCATAACTTTGTTTAAAAAGTAATATAAATAACACCTATGCCTATTTAGTGGCAGAATTGGAGCTGGAAGTCAGGTCCCATCCCTGTTCTTTCCATTAGGCTTATAACACAAATCTAACCATATCAACATCTGGCCATTAAATTCTCTAAAAGTGCCACAGCACCTGTGGAAAAAAGACCAAATTCCGAGGCAGGACATTCGAGGGCACTCATAATTTGCATTCCTTCAGTTATTTCTCCTACCATTCTCAAATACATACACATTCTATACCATACTCAACTTTTTCAGTGTCCTGAATGTAAAATGTTTTTATATTTTTGTTTATATGCCATTCTCTTTGTCTGAACTGCCCAGGCCTCAGCTCTTTATCCATCAAGATTTCAACAGAAACAGTTAATCCCTCCAGGGACTCCAGGAAGAACAGGGTTGTGTCTCAGTGCTACCCCTGCATCTAAAACTTACTGAATTTTCTTACCTGCTTACTTGTCTGCCTCCTATAACAGATTACATTGGCAGACAATGTCCACTGTCTTCTCATTATTCATGTTCCCCTTCTCTCAATATTAACAAACCTCAATGTTGTTCAGTATGGCAAGTGTCCAGCTAAAAACTATGTCCCAGCTCTACTTATAGCCAGAGTGGTCATGTGAACCATTCTGCCAAAGAAGAAAAAATGTAATCTGTTAGGTGGAAATTCCAAGAAAGCTATTATTTTTTTATATACTTATTTTTTAATGAAAGAGACAGACTCAGTGGGCAAATACATACTGGAATATGTATGAGCTGTCTTGGGACCTAGCAGCTTTCTTATAAGGATGAAAGTGATGGAGAAATAAAATGGAATGAGTCTGAGTCTTTACAGGCATTGTGAAGTCCTTGGAACAGCAATGGACTGCTATTTCTGGATTTTTACCCATGAAAAGTAAACTCACTACTCGTTTTAAGATTCTATACAGGTTTCTGTTTCATGTGGGGAGACACAACCCTAACTCATTGGCACTATGATTAACTAGAAGGTAGAGAGATTGGTTTATTCTCCTTTCTATCACCCAATCTAGGACAGGGGCAACTTGTCCAGGAACACAAATCACAACCTGTAAAGTATTCTATCTGGGTATTTTGAAAGTATTTCAATTTGAAAATTTTTTTAATGTTTTATTTATTTTTGAGAGAGATGGAGAGACAAGAGTGTGAGCAAGGGAGGGGCAGAGAGAGAGGGAGATACAGAATCCAAAGTAGGCTCTAGGCTCCGAGCTGTCAGCATAGAGCCTGATGCCAGACTCAAACCCACGAACCATGAGATCATGACCTGAACTGAAGTCAGACACTTAACCAACTGAGCCACCCAGGTGCCCCAAAAAATTTCAATTTAAATGATTTTGATTCAAAGATACATAAAAGTTGTAACAACCCAAACCAAACCCTTCTGAACTATTTGTATTAATGTTAATTATATCCAAGATGTAAAGGCAGACATTTGAAAAAGTCCTAAGTAATTAGTACAATTAAAATCTTAGCATAGGATTTGACATCACAATGCAATTTCTAAAAGACAAACCAAGAGTAACTATTAAATGATGGCTGCTTTTAATCTGAAAAAAGCAGTCACTTTAAACATTATATCAATACACTTGAAATGAAGGGAGATGGCTGGCTAAAAAATAATTTATTTTAATGTTTACCTATTTTTGGGAGAGACAGAGACACAGAATCTGAATTTGACTCCAAGCTCTAAGCTGTCAGCATAGACCCTGACACAGGATCAAACTCACAAGCTGTGAGATCATGACCTGAGCTTAAGTCGGATGCTTAACTGACTGAGCCACCCAGGCACCTGTTAAAACAAATGATAATATAATCCCAGTTTTTATAATTTGGACTGCCTCTCCAACAAAAGCAACCATCATTCCTCACTACATCATTCCAAGGCTTCCTATGGTGAATCTTCAAGAATGCTATATCACTCTTCACGGGTAGGTTCACGTTTTATAATTAAATTATGCACTCAACCTTCAAATGTTTTATTTTGCCAGCAGTAAAACATTCAGAGCTATTTCTCTATAAAATGTGGCAAAACAGTATGTTTTTACATTGTTACAGAGATTCTTAACCTTTGTATTCATAAGGTAACAGAAACATAATTTCCAATACATTATATTTGAGGGTTTTATTTGAGATTTAGAGCTGGTTTGTTCAGTTTAATCCCATCAAATGACAAAATGTTTTAAAACCTAAAGGCAATGATTTATAGCAAACATGGGTTGTTTCTTGAGAAAGTAATATGGTTTTTCTGGAAACTGGTATTTCACATACACAGGGATTATAAGTATGTGCAGAGGCTCAAATATTCCCTGTGGGGCAATGAGGAGAAGGGAGAGGGGTTGAAGGGGGTTGAAGTAGGACATGAAGATTTCATGATTTTGAAGGAATTAAGAAATCCCTCTTAAAAATGTAGGACACCTACTATGTGATCTGGAAAGGAATAACAAGAAATTTTTGGTACAAATCTGATGTTAAGCCTTAATTTCAAAAGTGAACACTCTGAAAACAGATTTTGAATTGTGTCTCAATAATTCCTTTTATAGTTTTTTCAACTGCTTTCACTCATGTTCTTTCATTTGATCCTTTCAATTACCATATAAGGTAATTATAAAGAAAGTGGCTCAGAAAAATCTTCAAACTGAGGAATAAGTTGCTGCTGTAACCGCCCAAAGCAGTGTTGCAGGTAGTTCTCCAAAGGGCAGGACCTTGGGGCTCTGTCTCTCTATTAAATATCAGCCAAAAGATTCTTCCAGGTCTTATGCTCTGTAGTTTCTCTCTCTCCCTCCCACTTTACCCCCCCCTTCTCTCTCTCTCTCTCTCTCTCTCTCTCTCTCTCACACACACACACACACACACACACACACACTATTTCACTGTCTTTATCTTTCTGCTTATCTTTCTCACCCACAGACACACAAGTATGCACACAATTAGAATGACAAAGTGATCTTACCAACATGTATGTTGACCTCAGACATATGAACTATGTAAATTAAATCTAGTATTGTCACTCACTTTAGTTTGAGACTAGTTAACACAAGTTAAACTCCTAAAAGTGTCATAAACTTTCTTTTCTAGGTGACGTGCATTTTTAACAATAGCTTGAGAAAGGGTCTCCCAGGTTGAAACTGTTTTGGCAACTGTCTAAAACCAACTGGGTAGCTATCTTGCCTTCTAATCATACGTGGTACACAGACAAAGCCATCAAGAGCTGGAAATAAATCTAAAATTTTAGAGAAACTACTGAAAACCCCTGAAGAGCTGAGTAAGGTGCAAGTAAACAAGAGGTAACATGAGTTCCTGTTCTTCATATTACCAGTTGTGCTACTTGGGCAAGCAAAGCAACTCTTTTAAACCATTTAATTAGGAACTAAACTTTTCACTCTAAGAGAAAGAGATACAAAGGTAAAAAGAAAGAAAGAAAGAAAGAAAGAAAGAAAGAAAGAAAGAAAGAAAGAAAGAAAGAAAAAGAAAATAAAGAAAGAAAGAAAAAAAAGAAAGAAAGAAAGAAAAAAAATCCCTGTGATTTTAAATCTTGGAATTGAAACTATCCATGTGAACTCATGATATACATGCATTTTCCTTGGCTCTATCCACTGTAGCAATGACATCCAAGTTGTAATAAATTCACCAGCTCTTGATTTCTAATATTATTCCCCAATAAAAAGAACCACAACTCCTTTGTATAATCATTGGTTCTAGATCTGGGGCAGGAAAAAAGTACAAGTGAAGTTGGGACATCCTATTGTGCCAGCAAGACTAAGGAGGGCGGACTTGAAGGGCTCCCACTAGCAAAACTTGAGACAATATGGGCATCACAAAGAATACAATCACAGCATAATACATATGATGAACTAAAAGGAAATCTATAAATGCAAAGTGACCTCAAAAAAGGGTAGGCAGAGAGTGAAAAAAAAGAAGCAGGGTGTGTGGAGACGGGCTCTTTACATAAGAAAGCCAGCTAACAAATGTAAAAGAAATAGTAAATTAAAATGTCATCATTTTTCAATCCTCAATATAATACTGATTTAGGCAAGTCATCAATGAATACTAAAACCACTCAGTGAAAAACAGTTGGGAAATACAGTTCATAGTCTCATAGTCTCGAAGCATCACCCCACAGGTTGATGCCACTAGTTGAAACTACTAGTTTCAAAGAAGAAAACAAACTTTTATAACAGAGAGACCTGGCAATCACCACTTTAATCAAGTAATTAAAGTTATTACCAGGAATTTACATTATACGTCTCTTGATTTGACATAATAATAAGTATACAACTTTACCTATGAATAGGATAATCATACAATTAATAAGTTAAAGAGCTTCATTTCAGAGAGTGAAAGGAAATGCTACTAATAATCATATCAGAACAACAATTATAAACTAGAATTGTCACGGACAACCCTAGACTTATCCTTATCACTAAATATCCTTGAAAAATACCAAAGTGAATCTAATTATGATGGAGCATTCAGACAACTGCCTGGTCCTCTTAATACAAGCCAAGGTCATAGAAAACAAAAACACGAGAAGCTCTATGTTAAATGACACTGAGAAGGCATAATAACTACATGGGAATGAAGGAAAAAAGCTACAAAAGATACTTTGGGTCGATTAGGGAAATGTGAATATGAACTATGTTCTGTATTACATATTATAGAACTTTTGTTAATTTTCTTAGAGTGATTAATGGTATTGTGATTATGCAATTATTCTTAAAAGATGTACAGTTAGGTATTTAAGGGTGGTGTTGTCAAGCCTGCAACTTACTTTCAAGCGGTTCAACCAAAAATGTATATAGTACCTAAGTATAAACAAGCATATAATACAGAATAAGTCAAATATGGCAAAATGTATGAGTATTCAGTGCAATTCTTCCAATAACCTGCAGGTTTGAAGTTTTTTTGAAATCAAAGTTGGGGGAAGGAGCAATCCACAAAAATTTGTTTTTCTTACCTTGGAGTCTCTCATCAGTGAATATTTTGTTTGTTTGGTTCCAGGTGCTATCGATAAATATAATTTTTTTCAGTGATGCATCTTGGCTCTTGCTGTCATTTAAATCCTGTTCTTCAGTTTTCTTGCGTTTAATAGATGGCTTGTCGGGGTCACCATTTTTGTCTCTAACATTATTTTGAATTCTTTTTTGCAGATGAAAAGAAAGATCTTTTATTGAAATAGACTTAGGTCCAGGAAAAACCAGTGCAACCTAAAGCAAAGAAACTTATGTCAATAGTATGTTATTATTATCTTTGAGGTAAATAAGTTCTGACTTAAAACTTGACAAGAAACAAACATGAATATGTGAGAAATAAGCATTACGCTCTATAACAACTGTGGTGCCTAAATGAGGTGGAGGATGAAGGCCCCCGAATGTGGGGTGATGATCAAATGGAAAGCTGTGAGATCAAAGAGTCCACCTGAGGCAGATAGAAGTTTACTGAAAACACCAAAAGGGAGTGGGGGGCAGGAGAGCAGAGAGGCTGTCTGCATTGAGGCTGTGGACTGCTGTTAAGGAGGGAAAGTGATGAGGTATTGCTATTTTTTTGGTAACTGTGCCTGGTTATAAGTAGCCCACTGGTCAGTGAGGGACAATGGATATTTCGGAGTGGGTCACCTGATGGGTCCAATCTGTATTCAGCCAGGTGGTCACTGTGAGCCTTTCTGCATCTCATTGCTCAAGGCTGTTTGCCTAAAAGTGGCCTCCATGACAACCACTTGAGTTATCTGAAAGTTTATATGTGTTTCTTTAATAAGCATTATAAAGTGTCTGGCTCTTTCCTAGTAATTTATAAATCATAATCATTAGCTAAAAGTATTGCTTCAAAATAAGTTATTCATTTATTGATAGAAGCCAAGTTAACTGCATCTGAATCCAAAAACTAAATTCTATAATATTTGACAATAGAAATGGCAAAGTAAGTGATACTCGGTAAAAGAACCACTGAAAAGTACTTCAACAAATGGTCTGCAAGAAACGTAAAAGGGTTCACATACTTCTTGCAGAAGTACCCAAGGCCTAGTTTTTGAGATCTATTACATTACTTTTCAACAAAAGCAATAATATCTTACCAGTGTGACAGTTTCAACTATGTGAAAACCAATTAAGAATCTAGAAAAGATCAAGGAAGGCCTCTGAGAAGCCAAAAAGGTTACAAAGGCCATATATTAAAGCTCTTAATTTAGGGAGAATTCCTGAAAGTCCTTCTTTTTTTTTTTTAATGTTTTATTTATTTCTAGGAGAGAGAGAGAGAGAGAGACAGCGCGAGCAGGGGAGGGCCAGAGAGAGAGGGAGTCACAGACTGAAACAGGCTCCAGGCTCCGAGCTGGCAGTCAGCACAGAACCTGACGCGGGGCTCGAACCCACGAACCACGAGATCATGACCTAAGCGAAAGTCGGACGCTTAACCGACTAAGCCACCCAGGCGCCCCTAAAAGTCCTTCTAATTCAAACTTTCTTTCCTTCTTTTGGAGAAATTCCAACAATGTTCATAATATGGTTTCTTAGTTCATATCAAATTAGATCTTTATGTAGTATAGGCAAGAAAATGGAGAGAGGAGAAAGTAAAAGCAGGCAGAGTAATATTGACAAAAAGTAAAAACCTAAAGAAATAATGCAGAAAAACTATATAAAGTGGAAAGACAAGATTCAAAAAAGACTTAATCTAAAATTATTTGACCTCTGAAGATACCAATGAAGTAAATAATTTGTATGTTGTTTACTGCTATAAAAGATAACTCTAGGTTATTAAGAAAAATATTAAATTATGTTCAAGTAAGCTCATAAAAGCAATGGAATTTAAAATTTATTTTTAGAGGCACCTGGGTGGCTAAGGCAGTTAAAGTGTCCAACTTCAGCTAGGTCATGATCTCACTGCTCGTGAATTTGAGTCCCACATCAGGCTCTGTGCTCATAGCTCAGAGCCTGCAACCTGTTGCAGTTTCTACGTCTCCCTCTCTCTCTGTTCCTCCCCTACTCTCTGCTCTCACTATGACTTTTTCAAAAATTAATAAACATTTACGCAAATTCATTTTTAGACTTAATGTGAAGAGTTGTAAAAATAACAAGCTGCCTACTTCATGGTCCTTTTCTTCGTATTCTGGAATACAAGGATACGTGTAAATGTTTACAAATTCGGGTGCTAATAGTTTTGCATGTACAGCAGTACTTTTGCCATCTGTTTCATTTGGATGTTTAATGATGTCAATCTTCAGTGGAAGCTAAAATTTAAAAAAAAGAAATCAACACAACAGATATAAAAATTCTAACTTTTATGTTAATAAAAATAATTTTTAAGGCTAAAATAGCACATTCATACTAAGCTCCTACAGATATAATTTGAAAATCATACATTTCTAAACCAGAATATTAGGAATGCTAAGAGCCATAAAGCAAACCCAAATTTCTTCCTTGATATTGTTGATCATATACTAGGACAACTATTTCCAACTCTTTTAACATAGAATCTGTTCTTAGAGCAAACTTTCAAGGTCATTTTCATTTACATTACATAGGTGGGGGAGTCCAATTCCTTGCATTTCAGTATTTATGCCAAGAACATTTTTTATAATTTCTATAAACTTTAAGTTTGAGGATTTTATGACACTATAAAAGGAAATATAAGTTTGGACAAAGGCGTCACATCTAAACATCAAGTCAAATTTTATTCCCTACATGTCCTTCGAGATCAAAGGTATTACCCTATCTTGTCAACATCATTGATTCTCATCAGTGGCCTTTCACAGCAAAAATGAAACAATCATCAACTGGAAAAAGTAACATAATAGGTCTAAGAGGTGCACATTTTATATAAAATTTAACTGTCTTCAAAATAACTTTGTCTATTTTCCTTAAAGTTTCATTATTTAATTATTATGGCTTATGTCCTGCCTCTTTGCAAAAATAATATTCTCTTGCATTTCCTGTGTTAGATTTTACTATCATTTCACTGACTTGTTTTAGTTTTCTGTATAATGCTTATACAGGTGCTACAGTCAGCCAGGATTACGAAAATGAAAGCCAAGTCATATCCCCTCCATAACAGAAGAAACTCTGAGATTCTTCACTGCAGATTATAAATGACTTATTTGTTATGATAAGCACTCCTCCAGCTTCCGCTTTACCCAAAACAGGATTTTAGGCAGGATTCTAGGTTTTTACCCTAGGGAGGGTTATTTTACCCTGGAGTACAAAACTATTTTTCTTGTTTTTTAAAACATCTTTAAGAAAGAGATAAAATTGGTATAATAAATGTCACATATTTAAAATGTACAATATAATAAATTTTAACACCCTTGAATTCATCATCACAATCAAGAACACAAACATATCTGTCGCCCTCAAAAGCCTTCTTGTGCCTCCCTCCTTCCCCTTTCTCCATCAACTACCACCCACAGTCCTTAAGCAATGATCATCGCTCTGCTATTACTACAGGTTTGCATTTTCTAGGCTTTTATATAAGTGAAATCATATGGTTGGTACTCTTCTCTTTTTCTGTTGTTTTTTTTTTTTTTTGGTTCTTGAATATGTATTTTTTGCTGACAAAAATGGTATTCATAAATTACCATACAAATATGGTATGTACTCTTTTCATCTGACTTCTTTCACTCAGAATAATTATTCTGAGAGTCATCCATATTATTGTATGTATCATTAATTCCAGAGCTGGTTTTTAAAGGGGCAGTGATCCCAACTGCACATACTTTACTTTTCTGGGTTACTATATATATAGTATATACCCCAGAAATGCCATAAGTATGTATCCCAAATAGTTTTCAATTTAGGCTTTCAAACCCCATATCTCCTTCCCTCCCCTCTTGGGCCTAGTGACGAATTAGGGCCAATTGCTTCAAATCACCAAACCAATGTCTAGTTATAGAAAATTTACCATTTAAGAAGGCAGTTCACAAATGATTTTACATCAGTCTACTTCTGGCTGAACTCTACGTCAGAATTTTCTCATGATGCTCAGTCTCAGTTGATACTACATTCCCTTTCCCCAGGGTTTCTCAGTCCCAGTTCAGCATTATCTTAGCCCAGGGCAGACAGAAAGAGGAAAGAAGAAAAAGAAAGCACATTGTGACATAATATTCTATTACTATTAAAACTGACTTTCTTCTATGGCTGATGAGTAGAGCTGAAAATTCCAAAGTGACATTTCTGATCAGCTGGCTATGTCTGAAGGATACCATTTACATCAAGGACACAGGACTGAGTGTTATTCATATATTTAAAAGTCATGTACCTAGCCTATCATGAGCTAAATTCTACAAGTATAAGACAGCTATGCAAACTTTGTGCTCAAGAAGTATCCTGGGACCCAGTATAGGTACTTTAGTTCTCCCTGAGTAAACCCGAAGTTTCTGATACTATGAAACAAAAGCACAGGCACAGACCAAATTGATAATATACTATTTGTGCTCTAGTTTTAAAGGAAGATACTTCTTAAATAATGACAGGGTATAGAGTAACACCAGTAATTTTGACCATGGTTCAAGTAGAGATGTTCTCTTTTCAAATATATAAAGAACATCTATCACTTCTCTAACACCCATAATTCCGATCAGAGATTTACCAAATCTTTCTGCCCCAATTTATCAAAATGTCATTAGCAGGAAACCTTAAGCCTTTTCCTATGTGATTATCAACTTTCCCAAAGAGAGTCTTTTCAATTTTAGGGCTCTAGAGGCACCTGAGTGGCCCAGTTGGTTGAGCCTCCAACTTTAGCTCAAGTCATGATCTCGCGGTCTCTGAGTTCGAGTCCTGCATTGGGTGGTGCTGACAACTGAGAGCCTGGAGCCTGCTTTGGATTCAGTGTCTCCCTCTCTTTCTGCTTCAGCCTCACTCACACTCTTTCTCTCTGACTCTGAAAAACTAATGAATCTTAAAAAGGAAAATTATGGGCGCCTGGGTGGCTTAGTCGGTTAAGCGTCCGACTTAGGTCATGATCTCGCAGTTCGTGGGTTCGAGCCCCACGTCGGGCTCTGTGCTAACTGCCAGCTCAGAGCCTGAGGCCTGTTTCAGTCTGTGACTCCCTCTCTCTCTGACCCTCCCCTGCTCACGCTGTCTCTCTCTTTCTCTCCTGGAAATAAATAAAACATTAAAAAAAATTTAAAAAAAAAAAAGGAAAATTAAATTATAGTACTCTAATAGAGGTGATTGTTTTTTGCTCCTTTAAAAAAAAAAAACAACCCAGAGCATCTTCTACTTATGCATTTCTCCTGATATTAAAAAATCATACTCTGCATGAAAAAATCAGTATTTATAAATTTATTCCACAGACTAAAATTTAAAGCTTGGGAGGCACTTACTCATTATGTAGTCATCTTCCCTTCCCAAGCAGGCTATCTAACAGCAAATGCTGAATGATTTGTAAAAATAAAGTAAAAACTAGAAAGAAAATTTTACAGAGTTTTTATTACTATTAATATATGTTAACATACTGAGTTTTATATATGGCCATAAAAAATAAATACTTTTTAAAAATCTGCATGATCTGGTAGGCTATTTAGAGTTGATCAAACACATGGCATAGTGTTTTGAGTCACTTCTATTAAATAGTGGGCCTTAGACCACTGATTTGGAAAATAATCCTTTATTGTTAAATTTCTATGAAAAAAAATTCAATGAAAAGTCAATATGTTATTGACTTTTATTATTCTGATCTTTAATCTTTTTGAACACATCACATCTTAAAGCTTTCAAAAGGATAATCTCTTTATGTGGCTATGATATGAACAGAAGATAGAATAATTCTATATACACTTCAAAAGCTATACTTTTAAGTGTAACATTCTTACAAGATAATAGGAAACTTAAAAAAAGTTTATTATCCTTAAGCTTTCAGTTTTTCTAAGGTAACTATGAAGCTGATTAGATTCCATGCTTATTTCTTCTTGGCCAGTAAACTTTCCAATAGCTTACAAGTGGGATTTTAGAGCTCTTAGGAGATCAGGGACTTGACAAGGTGGCATAAAAGCCAAAATGAAATTCAAGTAACAAAAGTATTCTACTTCAAATTTAAATGAATCTTAAAATCACCACATTAAGTATTTTTGAATATAATTTCAATTTATTTTCTTACCAACAAGTTCTAAGGGGCCCATGTGTAGAGTTTAGTCCCTCTAGAACCCTAATAGGCACCAACTTTTATACATTATTTGATTTACTCCTAAAGTTCATGTAAATGTTAGGTTGACATATATGTAATAAATTCTTTGATTACAAATATATCATGGTCTACAGACCTTTTACCTACACAAGAGTAGTCTTGGTAAGCAAAAAAAAAAAAAAGCATAATGTAAGCAATCAATTCAAATATAACATGGCCCAATGAGTACTTTGGCTTTTCAAGTTTAGTTTAGTTTTGGTCACTGACATGAACTCCATCTCCAAGTGTAGGATGGGGTAAGCTAAACAATCTAAACAAACATCAACCCCAGTTCCTTTAGGATATGTTTTTTAAAAAGAAGTCCAAGACCTTGAAATAGTTTTTTAAGTTCCTTCAGGCAATCTGTATACTTGTTACTTGTAGTATTCATGTTTATGCCATATTTTTTCCTATGTTTTAGATGAATTATAAACATTAATGAAAAAGTAATTGATTTCATTCAAAACAATACTATTCATCTCAGACTCAAGTAATTTAGCAATGTGTATTTCTTTTTCCAGAGACAAAAAAAAGAAACAGGTTTACCAGTCTGCAAGTTTAAATTTTCTATTAATATTATTCATTTCCACAGTGATGCTATTTATCAAGCTTACCAATTATATTAGAGCAGGCATATATGAGATGTCTTTTAAAAATGTCTTTTCCTAATTCAAATAATTAAATTTCTTACCAACCTTCACAAGTGGCATCTGCTCAACAGGTACATTTTCAACTGGGACATAACATGTATAGCAATAGAACATTCTTGAACCACCACATTTGAGACATTTTGATCTTCCACTTTGCTGAGCTTTTTGAAGAACTTCTTGAGATGCTAAGCATAAGTTTTGAAGAGGATCTTCCACAGCTATAGAAGTAGTTTGTGACTGTTGTATTTCCACAAATTTTGAATTATTTTCTTCCTTTTCCTTGAGAAATATAGGTGGATTGAGAGACATTTTTCATTCGTACCAAAGTTTAACATCTATTTCTAAAACATACATCATAGGTGCACTGCAAAAAACAAAAGTAGGGGGTGAAAGAAAGATAGGAAATATTATCCTTGTCTCCACAAAGAAAATTACTCCATTTAATTCACAACTGTGAACTGCTGTATTTATTAACAAATGTTAATAAGCTTTTAAAACCACTAAATTAGCATGATTTAAAATACAAAACTTAAAAAGCAATAAACTCAAAATAAATTAGCCTTCTGGGTCATTTCCTCCGTAAAAATAAAAGGTGCTCTCTTGGAAAAATTATTTAAATATAAAACTTAGGTACCAACAACCTGTTTTTTAGTGACTTTTATTTTGTTTTATATTAGGGATGTAATGGTTTAATGTTAGTATCAGCTAGGAATGTATTCAATCCTATAGGCTCTGACTTTAAACTGATGTTACATGCTATCAAATACCAACCTGAATCCTAATGAAAATACAAGGTTCCAGTGAAATCAGTAAAATTTAGTTGTTTATGTTCTAAAAGATATATTCCTCTCCAACTTAAATTAAAACACACACACACACACAAACATGACTAAATATTCACTTAAATAGGACAGGCATCTACTACCAATTACAATTTGTAAGATATTCCAAAAGGTGAAATATAGGCCCAGAAAAATAAAGTGTGATCTTATAAACTTAACAATTTTACAAAGTAACACTAATGTCCTCTAGCTTGAACATTTCATACTGCTTTTAAAAAATATAAATCATTCAGATTCTTCAGTTCTAGAGATAAAACAGTAAAATAACTTTCCCATTAGAATAGTTCCATCAAAGAATAATAGCTGTCCAAACTGTTACTCAAATATTCTGTAAGCACAGTTATCTTTTGAGGGAGAAAAGAGACTGGGGCCCTTTGATTTGATATGCATTCCAGAGCTGTAAAATGAGTCTCTCATTATAAAGCCTTATGGCATTGTGGTGTTTAACTATGAGGCCCCAGGCACTATGAATACAAACACTGACAGGAGAAATGCTGTGACTGCAACAGGAAACTTTTCTGTGGTATCCCAAATAGAAAGTGAACAAAAAGTCCAGTGGAACATAATATATAACATAACTTACCAACAAAAAGTTAGCAATACTAATTTAATTACTCATCAGGAGTTGCTTTTTTTTTTTTTTTAATAGATTGTAAATCCCAATAAGTTTGAGACCCAATACAAACGATGCAAAAGAAAAAGATGCTTTTCATTGAGGAAAAATATATTAAAACATGCTGGAAAAATAAAATATATTGGCCAAATTTACTCAAAGTAAATTTACCAAGCTGCCACCTTTTCTTGAGTCTCAGATCCTTTTAAGATCATGTGAAAGTCTGGGACCTTATCTACAGAAAGTGCATACACAGACATAATATTTTGCATACAGTATCAGGCGGTTTGTAGAGAGTCCATCTACAGATTCAGGTAAACAAACCATGACTAAGATTAAAAAAATCATTCTAAGGACAAAACAGCCTTAAAAGTCTGGGAAGAGATTCTATTAGTCTCCTGAAATTGGAGCTATAAATCCCTTATTGGGCAACCATAGGTCAACTGTCATAAAACAAAAGAGGTCTCATTACTGCACTTAGGAAGCTTGTTAAGTTTCACCTAAATCTTGCTTTGGGTTTGCTCTGGTGTTGCTGGAAGTCCTTACAAAGAAACATTTTTAGGCTGTAATAGTCTTGAATTACTACATCATGGGACTCATTCTATAAAAGGAACTGGTCTAGACCAATTCAACCTGACTCCATTTTCCTGGTGTTCCAGTTACTATTTAGGGGCTTTGCATATGCCACCAAAGGACTCAGGCAATATGGGGCTGAAGTACACAGTTCCTTGGGATGTCAGGAAAGTCACTGTGGTTGCCTGACATTCAGTAGAAAGCTACTGATGAGTTTTTCTATGGCCCTCTAAGTGCATTCTGCCTCAGAAATATTCCCCTATATTTCACTTGGCTTTCCAAAGAGCCAAATGGATATTAATGTCCTTCCCCTACAAAATCAAACAACATAAATAACTATGAGACAGTAAAAAGGAAATGTTTATGGCTCCCTCCTTCCATTTCACCTATATGCTCACGTATGGCTGTGGTGACCACACAAAAGATGCCAAAGTAGTTAGTCATGGACAACTCCCTGCAAAGGTCTCTGAAACCACATGACGGGGGCATCTGTCCTGACTTAGCCAACAGCCTGCCTCAAAGGTGTATAAATAGTTTTTTGCAAATGTAATGCATCACAACCTTCAAAACATGCTTATTAACAGCAAATCCATGCAGGGAATACAAGTGGAATTTTGAGGGTTACTTAGAAAACATAAAAAGAATTTATTCTTAAACAAGTAATAAATGCCTTAATGGTACATTTATCATTCTGCAAATTAGGGTGAAAACAAATTTTTTACTCCCCTTCTACCCTCTTTTCCTCCAAATCTAATTAATTACTCACCAAGCTCCATCAATTCTAAATCCTCTACTTTAGTCTCAGAATCAGGACTCTAGACGATCTATGGCAATCTCTTACGTCTCTTTAACTTTGCCCACTTATTATTGGTTTCACATATTTAGCATGGAAAAATCTGCTTTTCCCTGTAGTTGCCTTTTAGTGAAACTATCCCTCCTAGCAGTCAACTCTGCAAGAGCAGAATTCTCTACTGATCTCACATATCTATCTCTGTGTCTTACAGAGAGGGAGGAATTCCACAATTACCTATTAAATCAAAACCATTCTGAAAAAGAAAGCATATGTATGCATCTCCCTACTCAAGAACCTGACAAACCATCTTTATGGGCCATCTGCAGCTTGGCACAAGCGGCAGCATGGCATATTTTATATTTACATCTATATATAAGTTTATATATATATATATATATTTTTTTTTATTTTTTTTTGCAAAACGACGTTAAAAGCTCCTAGCTACCAGTCACTTCCCAATAGAATACTATATAAAAACACTCCAACCATCTATTGTAGACCAATTCAGTACTAGATAAAATATACTTCAAATTTTTTTTCCTGAAGTATTTTGAAGAACTTGGTCACATAATGTACACAGTTCCAACATTCATTTTTTAAAAATCCAAGGTGCCACCTCCTTCATACAGGGCAATGGGCCCTCCCACATCATCCATCATGTGGTAGGCAGACTACTCGCCTTAGTTTTTCATGGTACACTACGGTTCGGGCATAAATAATACTTAAATGCTGTGGTTTTGAGTCAAGCAGCGATTTATCATCCAACTCTGTGAACTGGCATAATACACCTCTTTACTTGTCCTATGTTCCCAAGAAATAATGTAGACATAAGAAACAGACTCCTTGGCTTATTATGTAACCACTATCTTAATATGTTAAATACACTGTACGGCACACTATGTCTGAGCTTAGCTTCTCCTGCTGTGATTACCAATCCCTCGCAAACCACTCCAAACACTAAAAAATAAATATTTCCTAGGGGACTGCTTGCCAGAAAAGACTTTCCTTGGGGCGGAAACCACTAAAAAATAATTGTTGGGGGGAAAAAAAATTTTTTTTTTTGAGGTAAAATTTAGAAGCCTTTTTCCCAAGGGGTCCGCAGGATCCTAAAAAAATGCAAGGGCTCGCCAAGGGACCAGGGCCCCGCTCACAGGCGACACTCTACACGACCTATACTAAGGCCGGGCCAAGGAGCGTTCACTGCCTGCGGACGCACGGCTCCGGCCAGACTACTGGTCCGCAGAAGGGCGAGGAGACCCGCACCAGGGATCGGAGTGGGACTCAGACCTGCACTGCCCGCGGGTTCTCGCACAGCTCCACGCGTCTTCCGCTCCGCTGGAGCCCGAGGCGCGCGCCCGGCCGAGGTCGCGCTCGGGCGCGGCGGAGCGCTTTTCGGCAGACACCGGAGGGAGAAGTCCGGCCGTTGCTAGGGCCGTTGCTACAGCCGGGCGCCGCGCTGGTCCCGCGTCGAAAGTAACTGCCGGGGAGGAACGCGGGGCGGGGTTAGAGGGGGAAGTCCCGCCTTAGCCTCTCGGGCTACCCGTCGTGTTGCCTTTCTCCTAGAGAGACGGGGTCCGAGAGCAGTGAGGCCGCATCGGTGAGGCTGAGCGTCACACCCCGCCAGCCCTGAGCTGAGGTTCCTATTGACGCTGACGGAGGCCACTTAAGGTGCACGCGGTTTTGGAAGTATACTTTCAAGGTGTAGTAGCAGTGAGTTGTGGAAAATGTTGATGCCACGGAACACTTTAACATTTTACCGATTCCAAAAATATTTTAGTTGTGAGGACTTGGTTCTGTTACCTTTTTATGGCTATGTCAAGTTGAGTACTTCGTGCGGTGCGTGGTAATGAAAGCTCTTAGAAACATTGTGGGTATTTTGATGGTTTGGTTCGCTTGAAAACTACACTCCACTTTGTGTACTTTTCCATTTTGGAATTAACTATAATATGTGGATGGGTTATTAAACCACTTTTCCTTGCTTCACCCCAGAGAAAATCCCAGCCTAAGGAGTGCACGTTAACAATTGTGAGATTTAGAAACACAAAGGCCAGATACTGAGCATTGTATTTATTGAGTACTTTTAATTTAGCATGTGAGAAGTAAAGGGCAGAACTTTGCCCTAAGGGAGCTTAGGACCTCAAGTTAACACTTGGCATGGTACCGAAAACACAACACGACTAATAAATTGTAATAATTTTACAAGAGCTCAGAATGGAGTGGTCAACGAAGGCTTATTGATTGGACTGGAGTAAGGCCTTGAAGAATGCTTAGGGCTTAAGAGTAGTGCTTTTCAACGGGAACGTGTCGGACCCATTGGTGGAGGTCCCATTCGTAAGCAAGGAAACGTAGTGATAGTTAAAACTACACATTTAAACATTTTTTATTAATTTTTTTTAAGTAAGTTCTAGGCCCGGTGTGGAACTTGAACTCATGACCCTGAAATCCATAGTTGTAGGCTCCCCTGACTCAGCCAGCCAAGCACCCTAAAACTACACATTTTAAAAAATGAGATAGTATAGTGTGGCAATGTCAGCGCATGCCACTTAGTAAAGTATTACCTCATGGACATCAAATTGCAGACAGTCACTGGCTTAACTTGGGATTTTTTGCCCTTATAATGGTATGAATTCAGTATGCGTGCCGTAGAAACCACACTTTGAGTTTTGATATTTTCTTGAGCTAGCCATATGTGGTATGAAATTCTCTTGTGATGCTGGCAGCCACAGCGGCCAGGCCATCACAAGGGTAAACAATCAGTATGCTTAGAACCATTGTTTGTCACTTTCAGTACAGTATTCAATTACATGAGATATTCAACACCTCATTATGAAATAGGCTTTGTGTTAGATGATTTGGCCCAGCTTTAGGCTAATGTAAGTAGTCTGAGCACATTTAAGATAGTTTAGGCTAGCCTATGATGTTCAGTAGGCTGGGTGTATTAAATGTATTTTCAGCTTAACCATGGGTTTATTGAAACTTACCCCCCATCATAAGAAATATCTCTGTGTGGGTGCGTGCATTTATAAAACGCATGTCTTGTGGTGCATTTCTCTTTCAAAAGTTTGAAGGCCACTGCTTTATTGGGAAAGGTGAACTTTCTGGATAAGAAAAGTAACAATAGCAAAGTCTCCAGGCCAAGAATAAGTAATTCATGCTTTTTTCTTCTTTAATTGCTCTAGTTCAGATGCTCAGGTTAAAAAAAGCAGATACTATTTATTCATTGAAGCGATATGAGTATCGGTTTACTTTTGCTATGTAATACATTAGTCCAAAACATGGCTTAAAACAACTTTTTTATTGTGCTCATGGATTGTGTGTTCAGTAGGGCACAGAGAGGCAGCTTTTCCCTGATAGCTCAGAAGTTTGTGAATGTTAGCAGAAATCCTATGTGTAAGCCTCTCCATGTGGCCTGAACTTCCTCACAGGATGGCAGCAGCGAATTCAGACTTCTGAGTGCTCCACAGTTCAGCATTGCCATGAACAAGGCAGAAAGTGCATGTTCTTTTCTGATGGAGAATCAGAGAATAAACAGTGTCGTTTCTTGCACATTATTTTGGTTATAAGTGTGTCTTAAAACCTGTCCGGATTCTAGGAGAGGGGACATAGATAGATGCGACTTCTCAAAAGATTGTCAAGGGATTTGTGGCCATTAAAAAAAAACAACAACAGAAAACACCATGATGAATTTACTACTGTCACAGAAAACCCCAACATTTCAGGGGTTTAATACAATAAATTTTTATTTCTCACAGGAAATCCATTAAAGATGTTACTAGTCAGATGAAACATTAGACTCAAGAGTGCAGGTAGTTTTTTGTGTTTGTTTGTTTAATTTTTACTGGTTCTCCTGTCTCCTAAGACTTGGGTCCAAAGCTTATCTGACAAGAAAGAAAGCATGGTGAACCATACAAAAAGTTTTAGAGGTCATCCTTAAAAAATGGCATGTATCACTTTGCCCACATTCCACAGGTCCCCCCAGCCTTTACTGCATGTGACCCTGGAAACTGTAGAGAAATATATACATATTGGTAAGCAGTAACATTTGACCATGTTCTAGGTTTTCCATCAAAACTGGATAGTTCCCAATCCCTCCATTCTATTCTCAGTTCTCTCAAAGGAAAATTTTTTCAACTCTTTTCAATAATTCTTCTGTTATTTACTGCATATGTCAAAATATATTGTACTTTTTTGATTTTTCAATTTCAGACATTATCCACTGACTCTCTTCTATGGAAGTCAATGATAAAGCTCTTTTATAACACCACCCCCAGGTGTACACACGTTCTTATTCCCTCATCTCTCAATGTAGTAATGTCTCAATTTTTGTTTAAATCCTCATTTGTAAATATCATTCAACCCTGAGCCACATGTCACTTTAACTTTTAATACAATCTTTTACTTTCCTTTGTTTAATAATAGCCATATTTTAATGTAGTTATTAGTAATCTGTCCTTAGACATTCTACCAAAGTGGTAAAACATTATAATCAAATATATCAATTAAAATATATAAGTCTGGCAGAGCGTTTTTTCCTTTCATATACATTTGCTTTCATTTCTAGTAAGGGTTTATTTTTTTCATCTTTTAAAAGACCAACTTGTGGTTGGTTGATTTCTGTTTTCATATTTTTATTTCATTGGTTTCTGCTCATACTTTTCATATGTTTTTTAGCCTTTTTCTATTTTTAAAAAACTTTTTAATGCTTATTTTTGAGAAAGAAAGAGAGACAGACAGAGCATGAGTAGGGGAGGGGCAGAGAGAGAGGGAGACACAGAATCCAAAGCTGTCAGCACAGAGCCCGACATGGGGCTCAAACTTATGAACTGTGAGATCATGACCTAAGCTGAAGTCGAATGCTTAACTGACTGAGCTACCCAGGTGCCCCTTTACTATTTATTTTTTAATTCATTGTTTTAGATTCCTAAGTACTTTTAAATTGTTTTCTCCTAAGCATAGCTTTAGCTGCATCCCACAAGTTTTGATATGTTGTGTTCTCATTGTCTTTCATTATCATTCAGTTAGAATTTTTTCTAATTGTCTCAATTATTTTTTCTGTGAGCAATATTTTACATAGAAATGGATTATTTAGTATTTAAGATTTTCCTAGATCTCTTTTTATTGCTGTTTTCTCTTTTACTTCTCTCATAGTCAGAGAACATACTCTGAATGATTTCAATTATTTGTAACTTTTGAGATTTGTCTTATGGTACACCATAGGTCCACCTTGGTGAATGTTCTATGTTCCATTAGTTTAAAAGATTGTGTATTCTGCACTTGTGAGATACAGTTGTTCTATAATGTCAATTAGGTTAAGTTGCTTGACAATGTTGTTCAAATCTTTTATCTCTTTACTATTTCATGCGTGTGTGTACAAACGTGATTCACCAATTAGAGAGATACGTTAAGATTTCTAATTGTGGTTTTTGTGTATATTTCCCTTTAATTTTATCAAGTTCTGCTATGTATATTTCGAAGTTTATTTATTTTTGAGAGAGAGAGAGGGGGGGGGGAGGGAGGAGAGGAAGAGAGAGGGAGGGAGAGAGAGAGAATCCCTAGCAGGCTCCATACTGTTAGTGTGGAGCCCAACATGGGGCACAAACCCCAACACAAACCTTGAGATCATGACTAGGGCCGAAATCAAGAGTCAGGCGCTTAAACGACTGAGACCCCCATATGCCCCATTGACTGTTTTCTTTTGATTGTGGGTCCTATTTTACTTCTTGTTTGTACATCCTACAATTGTTTTATTGTGTATTAGATTTTATGTGGGAAAAATTATAGAGGATGAAGTGTAACTTAGCACAATCCTTTTTCTCTTCTTGGCATTCAAAGTGAGATGCTGATCTTTTTTTAAAAAAGAAACATTTTGGGGCACCTGGGTGGCTTAGTTGGTTAAGCGTCCGACTTTCGCTTAGGTCATGATCTCTCGGTTCGTGGGTTCGAGCCCCGCGTCCGGCTCTGTGCTGACAGCTAGCTCAGAGCCTGGAGCCTGTTTCAGATTCTGTATCTCCCTCTCTCTCTGACCCTCCCCTGCTCACGCTGTGTCTGCCTGTCTCTCTCTCTCTCCTAGAAATAAATTAAAAAATATTTTAAAAAAAATAAAAAAGAAACATTTTGTATTTATTTCTGAGAGAGAGAGAGAGAGAAAGAGAAAGACAGAGTGAGCAGGAGAGGGTCAGAGAGAGAGGGAGACACAGAATCAGAAGCAGTCTCCAGGCTGTGAGCTAGCTTTCAGCACAGAGCCTGACACGGGACTTGAACCCATGAACTGTGAGATCATGACCTGAGCCGAAGTCAGATGCTTAACTGACAGAGCCACACAGGCACCCGGAAATGCTAATCTTCTTGATTCTTCTTCCTAGACTTGAGTTGAACTTTACAGCTGGCTTCTGCTTTAATTGTTTGAAGTCCACCTGTGACTAATCCAATTTCCAACTTCCCTCTTCATAGCTAACTCTTAAATCTTGTCAGTATTTGGGAGAAGTTGGGACTGACTTTTTTTTACATTTTTGCTTCACCTTTGGAGTCGACTCTGTTGGGGCTCTGGAGTCCAAGGAATATAAGAATGTGTTGGCCTATATAAGTGCTTTTTTTTGACAAAAGTCAGAAGTAAGGCATAGGGTCTGGGCAGGGATTGTTTGTCTGAGTCATTTGTTGTTGTATTCAGGTGTCTTTCAGACTCGAGTTTGTTCCTCCTGCTCATGCTGATGCTTAAGGTCCAGCTGATTTCTCTTCATCTCTGCAAAGTGACAGCACCATGGCAGACCAACAGTTCCCTCAATGGATGGTCAGAGTTCACTACCGGGTAAGGATGCTGCCATAGCTCTATGCTTGCTTATAAATGGAATTCTTAAAAAATTTCTGATCATCTAGGCTTCCAGGTAGAAAGGCTTCATGGGCTTGCAGTTTCACGGGCCTATATGATTTGAGGGACCCTACACTTGGCTTAATGGTCTGATGTTACCATCTTAAAATTCTTAATAACTTTTGAACAAGGAACTCTATGTTGTCCAAATTAGGTAGCCCATCCTGCCTTCTAGCATCCACTACTCCTCACTAATCTCACAGAAAAGTGAGATTTTTATTTTGTCTGGGTTTTGCCTTGTTGTTACCAGGGAAGCATAGGTGTTTTGCATCCTTCTACATTCTACTCAGAGTAGAAATCCATTTAATTTATGCCTGCCTGGGGCACCTGGGTGGCTCAGTTGGTTGAGTGTCTGACTTCGGCTCAGGTCATGATATCATGGTTCGTGAGTTTGAGCCCCGTGTTGGGGCTGACAGCCAGCTCAGAGCCTGGGGCCTGTTTCAGATTCTGTGTCTCCCTCTCTCTCTGACCCACCCCTGCTCATGCTGTCTCTCTCAGAAATAAATAAAACTTTTAAAAGAAATAATTTATGCCTACCTCCTTTTAACACTTACCTTAGAAAACTTTGGAATCGTATATTAAAATTAGCTGGAACATGCGTGAGTTTCACTTCCTTAACTTATTTTTCTAATTTTATTTAATTGGAATGTAGATAAAGAAGTTACATATATATACATACACACACATACATGCACACATACAAACATATACACACACAATGGAATATTATGTAGCCATAAAAAGGATGCGATATTGCCATTTATAACACTATGGATGGACCTAGAGTGAAATAAAGTGAACCTAAAGTAGGCAAAGACAAATAACATTATAATTTCACTTATATGTGGAATCTAAAAAGCAAAACAAATAAATAAAATAAGAAGCAGAACTTTAAATAAGGAGGACAAACTGATGGTTGTTAGAGTTAGAGGGATGTGCAAAATGGGTGAAGAAGAAGGGGAGATACAGGCTACTAGTTGTAGAATGAAAAGCAGGAATAAAAGGTGCAGCACAGAGAATATAGTCAATGATGTTATAATAGTGTTGTATGGTGAAAGATAGTAGCTGCACTTCAGGTGAGCACAGCATAAGGTATAGAGTTGTTGAATCACCATGTTGTACACCTGAACCTAAGGTAATGCGTGTCAACTCTTCTCAAAGAAAAAGAGAGAGAGAGAGAGACAGAGAGAGAAAGAAAGAAAAGAGAAAGAGAGAAAGAAAGAAAAGAAAGGAGCACCTGGGTGACTCATTTGGTTAAGGGTCTGACTCTTCAGCTCAGGTCATGATATCACAGACAGTGCAGAGCCTGCTTGGGATTCTATCTCCCTCTCTCTCTGCCTCTCCCCTCCTTGCTCTCTATTTCTCTCTCAAAATAAATTTTTAAAAATTAAAAAAAAAAGAAATGTGGGTATTTTATAGTGCTTTTTACTAGAAGTGGCTTGATAGCCATTATAAGAAAAAAGTAACATTTAAATTGTTCTAATTACTTCTTTGTATTTCATACATTTCAAAATATACTGATAGCTTTCTTCTAGATAACTACTACACTCACTCTCTCTGAAGATATTGTATCCATAACATTTATTTTGTCCCTAAGCATTCTTTGTGCACCATCTCTTATTTCTTACCCTTCTCAATCTACAGTCCCATGTTTTCCATTAAATTTTTTTGACAACTCTATGCAGCATTGCTTCTGAACACTTATTTTTGTAGTGATGCTGGCTTCGTAGAATGAGTCCAGAAGTTTTCCTTCCATTTCTGTTTTTTGGAATAGCTTGAGAAGAATGGGTATTAACTCTGATTTAAATGTCTGATAGAATTTCCCAGGGAAGCCATCAGGCCCAGGGCTCTTATTTGTTGGGGGGTTTTTGATAACTGATTCAGTTTCTTTACTAGTTCTGGGTCTTTTCAGATTTCCTGTCTCTTCCCATGTGAATTGTGGTAGTGAGTGTGTGCTTAGGAATTTGTCCATTTCTTCTAAGTTGTCCAGGATTGGCATATAATTTTTCATAGTATTCCCTAATAATTGCTTGTATTTCTTAGGAGTTGGTTGTAATAAGTCCATTTTCATTCATGATTTTGTCGATTTGGGTGCTCTCTCATTTCTTTTTGAGAAGCCTGGCTAGAGGTTTGTTAATTTTGTTCATTTTTTCAAAAAACCAACTCTTGGTTTCATTGATCTGTTCAACTGTTTTTTTGGATTCTTTATTTATGTCTGCCCTCATTTTTATTAGTTCTCTTCTTCTGCTGGGTTTTTCGGTGCTGTTGTTGCTCTCCTTCTAGTTCCTTTAGGTGAGCTGTTAGATTTTGTACTTGGGCTTTTTCTAATTTCTTGAAATAGGCCTGGAGTGCAATGTACTTTCCTCTTAAGACTGCCTTTGCTGCATCCCATAGAGTTTGGATTGTTGTATTTTGATTTTCATTTGTTATATATTTTTAAATTTCTTCTCTAATTGCCTGATTGGCCCATTCATTCTTTAGTAGGGTGTTCTTTGCCTCCATGTTTTTGGAGTTCTTCCAGACATCTTCCTGACATTGATTTCAAGTTTCATAGTATTGAGATCTGAAAGTGTGCATAGTATGATCTTGATTATTTTATATTTATTGAGGGCTGCTTTATGTCCCAGTATATGATCTATCTTGGAGAATGTGCCATGTGCACTTGAGAAGAAAGTGAATTCCATGGCCTCAGGATGTAGAGTTCTAAATATATCTGTCAAATCCATCTGGACCAATGTGTCATTAAAGTCCATTGTTTCTTTAGTGATTTTCTGTATAGTTGATCTATCCATTGCTGTAAGTAGAGTATTAAAGTCCCCTGCTATTAGCACATTCTTATCCATAAGATTGTTTCTGTTTGTGATTAATTGTTTTATGTATTCAGGTGCTTCCGTATTCGGTACATAGAGATTTATAATTGTTAGCTCTTCCTGTTGGATAAACCCTGTAATTATTATATAATGCCCTTATTCATTTCTTGTTACTGCCTTTACTTTAAAGTCCAGTTTGTCATATATACTATGCACAGTTTGTTTGTATAGCTACTCCAGCTTTCATTTGACTTCCAGTAGCATGATAGATATTTTTCCATCTCTTTGCTTTCAATTTGAAGGTTTCCTCAGGTCTAAAATGGGTTTCTTGTAGACAGCAAATAGATGGATTTTGTTCTTTTATCCATTCTGCTACCCTGTGTCTTTTGATTGGAGCATTTGGTCCATTTACACTCTGTGTTATTATTGAAAAATATGGGTTTAGAGTCATAGTGTTCTTTGTAGGATTCATGCTTGTGGTAGTGTCTCTGGTCCCTTGTGTTCCTTGCAACATTTCCCTCACAGAGTCCCACTCAGGATTTCTTGTAGGGCTGATTTAGTGGTGACAAATAATTTTAATTTTTGTTTATTTGGGAAGACTTTTATCTCTCCTTCTATGCTGAATGACAGGCTTGCTGGATAGAGGATTTTTGGCTGCATATTTTTTCTGTTCATCACATTGAAGATTTCCTGCCATTCCTTTCTGGCCTGCCACGTTTCAGTAGATAGGTCTGTCACTACTCTGATAGGTTTCCCTTTGTATGTTGGGGCCCTTTTGTCCCTAGCTGCTTTCAGAATTCTCTCTTTGTCCTTATATTTTTCCAGTTTCACTATGATATGTCATGAAGAAGATTGATTCAAGTTACGTCTGAGGGGAGTTCTCTGTGTCTCTTGGATTTCAATGTTTGTTTCCTTCCCCAGATTGGAGAAGTTCTCTGCTATAATTTGTTCCAGGACTCCTTCAGCACCTTTCCCTCTTTCTTCCTCTTCTGGAATTCCTATGATACAGATATTGTTCCATTTGATTATATCGCTCAGCTCTCGAACGCTCCTTTTGTGTTCCTGGATCAGTTTCTCTCTTTTTCTCGGCTTCCTCTTTTTCTATAATTGTGTCTTCTAATTCACCTATTCTCCTTTCTGCCTCTTCAGTCCATGCATTGGACGCCTCCATTTTTTTATGCATCTCATTTATAGCATTTTTTAATTCATCACAACTATTTTTAAGCTCCATAGTCTTTGTAGCAATAGTTTCTCTGATGTTTTCCATGCCTTTTTCAAGGACAGTGATTTTTTTTTTATGACTATTGTTCTTAATTCCTGTTCAGTTATGTTGCTTATATCTGTTTTAAGTAGTTCTTTAGCTGTCTTTTCTTCCTGGAATTTCTTTAGAGGAGAGTTCTTCCGTTTCGTCATTTTGGCTAACTTTCTGTCTCTTGTTAGTTTTGAAAGTATGCACTCTGCACCGCCAGTACTGCTGTATTAAAGAAGGCTCTTTGACCAGGGTCTGTCCATTCAGGAAGTATTCTTTGAATAGTGTTTCTTGGTCTCTCTTGTTGAGACTTTTGTTATTTTATTTCCCTACTTGTAGTGTTATTTGGGACTCTCCGCCATGTGTACTTTGGCTTGTTTCTTGAGGTAGCCCTGGAAAAGAAAACAGACAGACAAACACACAGGGAACAAAGGCACACAAACGCACAGACAAATCCAACAAACATGCAAACTGAAAGGGAAAAAGAAAAAGAAAAAAAAGAGTAAAAACAAATAATCAAAAGAAAAAAGAAGAAAAGCAAAAACACCCAAAAGACAAAGGAAAGTCTAAAAGCATAAAACCAGAATTCCCAGCTACAAAGAAAGAGCAGGGTGTACACAGCGCTGATGGAAGAGCATATACAAAGAGAGAAATGACAGGGCAAGGAGGAAGCGAAATTGGACAATAACCAGGCAGAGAGACTAACAGGCTTAATTCAGAGAGAGAAAGAGGAGAATATGTAAGAGGTGAGGAGAAAGAAGTGAAGATAATGTTACTCAGAGAAATTATATCGTCTGAGGACTCCAGAGAGAGAGAGAGATAGAAAGGCAGCAGTGGAGGTATAGAATATACATCTAGAGAATGGATTAAATGTGACTGTTTAAGCAAACCAGTGACCAGAGTGCCCAGTCCAGCAGAGGGGAGGGATTCGAATGAGATAAGGGAAAGAATAGAAAGAATTGATCTAGAATTAATCACGACAGTGCATCCATGTTGGTCTTGCCCCAGGCTCTGATTTTTAAAAAAAGCAGCTCTTTAGAGGGGATGGGCATGGTTTGGTGTAGGCAGGTCTTAGCCTCCACTGAATCCCGTGGGCCACTCCCTGAGGTCCCGCGTTGGTGGTGGTGGGGAGAAAAATGGCAGTGCCCTAGTCCCTTCTCGAACCGAGCATTGCAGCTCACTCTTTTGGGTCCCATCTCCCTGTGCCGCAGGTGTAGCCGAGGTGGGTCGTGCTCTATGTCCCAAGCCACGCCTCGTTTCCAGATCTTAGTCCGCATGCCCCATTGATACCGCCTGAAATATAAACCCGCAGGCCGAGTCCCTCCCAGCAGTTACAAACTGGCCGCCCTCCCCACTGGGGATGGACAGCAAATGTGACTTTTAATTTGATACGTAAAGTAAGAGTTAAATAGACCAAGAAGGGATTGGAGAGGGAAGGTTTGGGACAGGGAGCCTTCTAGCAGAAGTAAGAATATGTACACAGTCTCTGAGGCAAAGAAGAACAAGGTGTGGTCTTGATTAAAGTTCATTTGTCTAATGAAAGAATATATTTTCAACTTATGAGGAAACTACTAATAAAAATGGGACTATTACTTATTACATGGAAATATCCAAATATCTAAGTTATTTTCACCATGTCACTAGTGTGGACTTTTATTAAATACTTCATCAGCAAGAGGGGCAAGTTAATATATTTTTGGCTCTGGATTTATTGTAGACACCATCCAACATAGCCCAAAATATCTTGGAACTCTTGTAGGAATTTGTAATGAGGACATTCAACAGGATTCATTTGGAGTTTTTTCTCTAGGAGCAATATATAAGAGGGAAGCCTTTTATAGAATTTGTTTTGGAGGCTTAGAATTTAAACATTGATCTCTGTTCTTTTTCAGAGTGCAGGGACTTTACTAAGTGATTATTTTACAATGCCTTATGGCTTTGAAAATTATAACTTAAGTCCAGAAGCATCATTTACTTAAGTAAATTATATGTAAACATCATAAACAATGTTAATTTATGTGAGGTATATTAGGAATATTTATTAAAATTATCAATATTGATTTCATGTTAATTAGCAATATTGATTTTATTTCATCAGAAAATGCATAAACCTCCAACGAACATTGAAGAATTCTTAAAGTTTCAAAAATGGGTAAGTAGTACCTCTATTTTATGTGCCATTACATCTTTTATTATGTTTTTAATTTTTTTAATGTTTGTTTATTTTTGAGATAGACAGAGCATGAGCGGGGGAGGGGCAGAGAGAGAAAAGGAGACAGAATCCAAAGCAGGCTCCAGGCTCTGAGCTGTTAGCACAGAGCCCAGTGCGGGGCTTGAACCCACGAACTGCAAGACCATGACCTGAGTTTAAGTCACACACTCAATCAACTGAGTCACCCAGGCGCCCCAGCTGTTACATCTTATAAAATATCAGTTGTGGCCATATGGAAGATTTAAGAAAAGACTGGGAATAGAAATTCAAAAAAATACATTCCAGTGTGGGAAATACTTAAATTTATCTCCTTTCAGTAAGCTCTATGTTGTAGCCTTTCCCTCTTGTCAGTATTCTATTCTTTTTTTTGACTTTGAAAAAATTCTAGATCTATATCCCATCAGAAGGATGATACAAACATTTCTATATAATTTTGCTAATATGCTTGTTTTAATATTTACACCTTAAAGAATATCTGATAATTATTCATACTTAACCTTATTTATCCATGTACTGCAGCTTAGACTAACAGGTAATTTGCACAGGTGGTGTATCAGTTTTCTTGATTGTTGAATCAGAGTGAAATATCCAAAATGTGCTTCCATGTTGTAAGCTCCTGTTTTGGAGAAATGTGACATTTCATTGTCATTAAGCAGATCCATCGCTCGCACTGCTACAGCCTTATTTGGGTGGTGCTTTTCTACAGAATTTTGCACTGTTTCCCACATTTTACATATCTCCTTAATCTCATTTGAAGTGAGGGATTCCTCCATCTGTTTCTTCTCCGCCTCTGCAGATGAGATGCAGACGTAGACTTCCTATAAAATCTTGCAACTTCAGCCACTCGCATATCTTGTTCGTACTTTTCCATGATTTTTTTAATATAAACTGGAATCATCTTCATCTTACCACCTTTCTTTTCAATCTTTTCCTGCACGGGAGCCATTGTATACTCACACACGATGTTGACTACAGTACAGTATTAATCACTTTTTGTCATATACGGTATTTCATGTAACTGACAATAAGACAGCAGAAGAAAAGGCCTATATCTGCAGGCAGTCTGACCTAAAATGAAGCAAAGCATTCCTAAGCTTACTCTTGTATGGAAAAGCAAACGACTGTCCATAGGTGCTTTAAAGTGAAAAAAATACACTAGTGCCAGTTGTGGGCACCTTCCAGCATTCTGAAAAATCACTGATTTCTGCAAACTCTGCAACCTGAGACCAGGCAATCCAAATATGGGAGACAGTCAACCATAATTTCACAGTGAGAGAGAGAGCGAGAGAGCGAGAAAGGGAGAGAGAGAGAGGGAGAGAGGGAGAGAAAGAGAGACCGAAGAACCATTGGCTCATTTGTGATCATATGACGTTCAAGGTAATATACTACTCATATTGCAAGATATCGCTCATTTATCAAGTTAAAATTTATTAGAAATGTTTGCTCATCTTGTGGAACACTCACAGAACAAATTACTCACAATCCAAGGTTTTATTGTATTTTGATTTAAATAATGATGGAAAAGTGCTGTAGCCTAATCACAATGTTTGAGGTCTTTTTAATGCCAAAGGTAAAGGATTATAGTTAAACCAAAATCAGCAAATAACTATGGAGATATTTGGACTATACCATCATTTGTGGGTTTTTTTTTAAATGTTTATTTTTGAGACAGAGAGAGACAGAGCTTGAGGCAGGGAGGGGAAGAGAGAGAGGGAGACAGAATCCAGAGCAGGCTCCAGGCTCCAAGCTGTTTAGCACAGAGCCCGATGCAGGGCTGGAACCCACGAACTGTGAGATCGTGCGTAACCTGAGCCGAAGTCGCGTGTTTAGCTGACTGAGCCACCCAGGCACCCCCCATCATATATGTTTAAATATCTATGGTATCAGATGAAAATTTCTAATTATTTGAATTGGAAAATGTATAATCACTCTGCTTAAATTAAGAATAATGCTAATCAAATCAACATCACAGATTTATGCCAGCCCTTTACCAAAGATAGAATAAACTAAAATTCAAAGCATATGTTTTATTAATGGCATGTAAGGAGCACTGTCCTTGTATCCAAAGGCCAGCATTTATATTGATAGCTTTCAATTTTTATCATATGGCATTTGATAAAACAACATATATTTGTACTGTTTTATCATTTATGGGTTTATCTGTAAAATTGTTCTTATTGTCTCAATTTCCCAACCAAATACTTGTATTCCGTAGTTACTTTTTTTCAAGGCATGACTATGTCTATGCATTGCCAAACCATTGAATATTTGAAAGCATCCAGGAATGAAATGACTCGATATTTAATTTCTTGTTTGCTGGACAAAGCTTTTGTCGTATAGGCAATCATAAGAAAGTAATAATAACTTCCTCAAATTCATTTAGGAAATATTTTTGATACCTATTACAGTTAGAATATACTAATGAATAAAAAGAGGCCAAGATCCCTGTCTTCATGGAGCTGTCATTTTTTTTAAAAAAGTGAAGCATATGATAAGCAAATGAATAAAAGAAACCAATTAAAATGTATTCTAAACTGCTTATGGCTTCCTGGAAAGCCTATCTATTAATTTCCCTCTAAAATATAAAAGCAAAGGTATGTGTCTGCATAGTGGTGTAGTCATTAAGAGCAGAGACTCTGGTGTCAGGTTGCCTGTGTTCGGATCCCAGCTCCACTACTAGCTAGCCCTGGACCAGTACCTGCAGCCTCTGTGTTAGTTCTTAGTTTCTCACGTCTTATCACTTATCTTTTACCACATCATCTAAAGATGTCCCATTTTGGCCAATTCTTACCTCTTTTTTTCTTTTGTAATTTTAACATTTTATACCTTCTACTCCTGTCTTTCCCCTGTTCCTATCTCTTGTTACAGTTCTGTGTACTTTTTTTTTTACCTTCAGTCATTTCTCATTTATCTGTTTGATCAATTCCCACATTCTCTTCCTGCCTCTTTCCCCTTTACTCCATCACCATTCTGTCTCTATTTTTATTTTTATAAGAATATTTTTGTATTCTGTCTTTATGACAGCCTCTTGTTCCACTAGTGTTTGCATTACTATCTATTCCATGACTTGTCCTGTTCATTCATTCATTTAATGATTTTTATCCACTGCCTACCAGATGCCAGGTGTTGTTCTGGACCCTGGAAATACAACAGTGAACAAAAAACAGAGAAGAATCCTTGCCATCATGGAATTTACATCACCCTCCTTCTGCGCTGATTTTCTTTAGTGTCACACATTTTTAGTCCTTTTCAGTTATTTAGGTACTCAAGAATTAGTTTGAATTCTTTCCTTATTTACACATCACATTTGATCTTCCCTGATGTTTATTTCTTACTCTGTGTCCTGTTTTTCTGCTTTCACGTGACTTTTATCTAGGAATACTTTACGTTCATATCAATTTTAATTAACAAGTCTGCTACATTTGTAATCCATACCTAGAGGGTACTCAGATCCCTAATGTGATTTTTCTCAGAAGATCAAAGGTACTTTGTGATAGAATAATTATTTCAATCCCATTCTCTTTATTCGAGGAACAGTCTATTCATTTATCTGTTTATTTATCCGTCCATCCATTCTTTAAAACCCTCATTTTTTTAAAAATAAGGTAAGGGAAGAAGACCTAAATGTCAATTTTTCTAACCCTGGTCATTCTTCATATTTTTTACCCATTTTTGGAAACCTCAGCCCTTTTTTTTAGAGCTTACGACATGGGTGAAGACCTAACCATATATTCAGTAAGTAAAATCTCTTTTCAAACTTCAAGAGACCCCTTTTGTCTAGCTACTAGGCTCCATCTCTAGTTGTGTACTAGTATGTAATATTCTGTGCCTCTGCCACTGCCAAAGTTTAATTGCAGTAATTTAAGTAAACATAACAAGTACATAGCTGATTTTTGCTTTGCCGACCTTTTAAATAAGATAAATGTCTTCCTAAAGTTATCACTGAAGATTATAGTGCTGTAATGGAGAATTTAACTCTTTAGGGAACAGAAATTTCCAGTCCGATTCTTTTGACTCTTTGGAATTGGAATATATTTGTTTTTAAATTAATATAATCACTGTGGACTCTGGATGCTTAAACCCTAGTAATGTTGCTTTTCCCTCTGCCAGTAGTGACATCATTTTTGCCTGGCAGTTCTTCTGCCTCTTGCTGCTAGTTGACTCTAGTTTACCTTCCCTAGGATTGGCCACAAATTTGCTTTCAGATGATACTCTATTCAAGGAGCAGCTCTGTGAAGGCAAAGTAGAAAAGAATAATAAATAAAAGTAAATAGAGAAATGAAGGGGAAAGCCAGGTATGATCTGCCACAAGATCACCGTCTAGTATCCATTTAATCATGCAGCCATGAAAAAGCCAGTAAAAGAGTCAGAGCTTAGTTACATATCACCTTCTTTATGGTAATGTCTTTGGGACACCAGTCAATCCCTTGATTACCTTGGGAAAGTACAGAAAACAGAGTCTAGTCAGGCTTATAGGATTACAGGATACTTTATTCACCTCATAATATGCTTCAGTATTTTGGGAACAAGGATTGTGATATCTCAAGTCTGGCATAAGGATACATTTTCATAAAGATTGTGTATATTATAAAATCTTGTCAAATGCATTTGCATTTTAGCGTCTCTTCTCTCTCCCAAATCTCCTCTAACAATAGCAACACATGACCTCTGAGGACTGTGTTTTCGAATGTTGCTGTCATTCTGACTTGAAAATGTTTGTCTCTCAGAATTGTATCCTGTGATTATATCTTATTCTTCCAAAGTCTTTGTACTTTTTGATACATAAGACCCGAATTTTAATGCAGGAAACTTCTCCAGGTGGTTGTGTCTTATTTAAGGTACATATTTGTAGGAGTTGGGAGATGGTGCTTATGAATCTAAGTATATTCTTCTTTCTAAACTGATAGAGGGGGCTAGATACCTGTGAGAAAGTTTTCCAGAGTTAGAAGCTAGGTATTATTGAGGTACCTGCTATTATTAGAGAGCATAAATTATAAATAAGACATGTATGATGGGTTCATACCTTTAAAGGAAGAAAAAGGCAAGTGGATTAGACCAAGGCTATTTAAAATTTTAAATAATTCCTGATCTGCAGACTTCATATTTATTCCCATTTAGCTAAATTCCCAGAATATCTCACCCCAAATTCTGTTCAAGAGTTTATTCTCTGCAAATTTTCTACCATTGCACAAAGCATTCTTTCATTCATAAACCTTTCTTTACAGGCTAGCTTTTTTTTTTCTGCTATTAGTTGATTATAATTAAAATACAATCTTATATTTAGAATTTGCAAATATTATTATGAAGCTCCTTCCTTTCCCTTCATTTCCCTTTTCTTCCCCTTCCTGAACAATTTAGTTCTGAAGCCACTTGGGGACCCAAACAAAGCAGGTGTTTGTATTGGCACTGGGGAGGAGGATGTGCGGCGATGGCCCTGGGAAAGCTATCTGAAATCAACCATGGTGAGGAGAGTATTCATGTGATGCCAAAATCCAAGGGAATGAGATGGTATCCACCCGTGGCTGGGAATGAGGGGTTTTTCCAGGGAGGTATGGAAATAGGCTGTGGTTTCGTATGAGAAGTTAGAGCCCAATAGGGGTAAGGAAGGTATCCCTGAAGAATTGGCAGGCTGGCATTGGATGTCGGAATCTAAGCAGGATGAAAAGGGCATCTACATAGAAAATAGGCTACTAAGGATAGGAGAGATTGGTTACCTGAAAAGATTGATCAAATAAATACGTATGCTAAAGAAAATGGCAACTATATTTTTCAGTGTTGGAGGTGGTACTTGTAATATGTAAAGAGAGAAAACTAGAATGTTTGGAATTGGAATTGCAGGTTTCACTGTGAACTCATGGTTTTAAATACAGTAAAACCTTGGTTTGTGAGTGTAATTCATTCCAGAAACATGCTTGTATATCAAAGCAATTTTCCCCATAAGAAATAATGGAAACTCAGATGATTCCTTTCACAACCCAAAAGTATTCATATAAAAATGAATAATAATGAATAATAATGTAATACAATACAAAATAATAAAATATAAAATATAAAAAAAATAAACAAACTGCACTTGGAAAACCTTCATGGCTGGTGTGAGGGATACAAGAGAGGGGAGGGTTATTATGTAGGACGGCTTTCTCTGTCACTGACGGAATCACTGCTAGCTGTTAGCTCAATGGAATCTTTTTCTGTATGGGGGCCATTGTATATGCTCGCACGGATGTTGACTACATACAGTATTAATAAACTTTTGTCATATACTGTATTTAATGTCAATAGCAATAAGACAACAGAGGAAAGGGTCTATATCTGCAGGCAGCCTGACCTAGAATGAAGCAAAGCATTCCTAAGCTTACGTTGTATGGAAAAGCAAAGGACTGTTCATAGGTGTTTTGAAGTGACAAAAAATATACTAGTGCCAGTTGTGGGCACCTTCCAACATTCTGAAAAATCACTCATTTCTGCCAGACACCGCAGCTTGAGACCAAGCATCGAAGCATGGGAATCAATCACCTACAATCAATGAGAGACAGAGAGGGAGAAATAGAAGAACCATTGGCTCAGTTGTGATCATGTGACATTTGGGGTCATGTACTACTTGTATTGTAAGACATCACTTGTTTATCAAGTTAAAATTTATTAGAAATGTTTGCTCATCTTGTGAAACACAAAACAGGCTACTTGCAATCCAAGGTTTTACAGTACATGGAGATCAAAATGACTGAGGAACTTGTAGACTGAAGGAGACTAAAGAGATGAAGCCTAAATATAATACATGACACTGAACTAGATCCTAGTTGATAAGACAAACAGAGTCTGAGAATTAGGTAGGAATAACGTATGAAGGCCAGTTTCCTAATGGTTTTATTTTGGTTATTAGGAGAATGTTTTTGTTTGTAGTAAATACACACTAATGTATTCAAGGGAGAAGGGGCATCAGTCAAGTAAGCTACTTATTTTCAAATGATTCAGGAAATACATGTTTTTGATAAAACATTTGAAACTTCTAAACTTTATGATTGTTTCACAATTTTTTTAAAAAGTGCATTTAATAAAAAAGTAATGCTGTGCTGTACAATATTTTGGATACTTGAAACCAATATAACATTGTATGTCAATTACATTTCAATAATATAAAAAAAGATAATGCAATGGAATTAAGTCTCAATTTTAGCTCATTGACTTTGAACTCTTGTTTAAATTCATCAAAAATGATTTGTTGTATTCACTCACATTTTTTGCAGGATTATTGGCCCAGGGAAGTCCATTTTGGAGACAGTGATAAATGGTTACACACTGTGAAGAAAATAAAAGAAGATAGTTCATTTACGTCAATTTATACACATCTGTGGGAAACTGTCCCTCGAATACATGATGCAGTCATGACCATGGAGTCAAGATTAGGGGAATGTTCAATTCTTTTGAAAAACCATGCTTCTAAAATATTTGAATGGAGCAGCATAATTTCTGAGACAAGTAAACTTCATTTTTTTATATGAGTAAAGTAATAGTCGTTTTTGTGTGTCTACCTATCTATCTCTGTGTGTGCATCTCATAAAGAATGAAATCCTATGGCATAAAATATCTACAAACATAAATTTATTTTATTTTAAAGCTTTCTCATTTCAACATAGTTCAGTCAAGAGTTTGCGTTGAACATGAACATGTAGATTTAATAAAAGTGTTGTTAGAACAAAGCCTTAAATAGTTGGTGAACTTTGTTAAGCTGGACCAGAGGTAGCAGAATATCAAGGAAACAGGATTGCCCCAACTCTGTGTTGGTACCAGAGATAAGCAAGGCAGCGAGAGGTCAAAACATAAGAGCAGAAACACCTACAACCCGAAGTAAAGTGAGCCGCATGAGCTACATTAGCCTGTAGGAAGTAGTCAGCATTCAGTAGTGAAAAACTACAGAGTGGAAAGCATGTCTGCTAGTAATGATCATTTTTACCTCTTTTTCAGTATTTAAATAATATTTTTCTTATCTAGGTGTATTAATTCTTACAGAATAGCTGTAGGTACTGTGTTGGTGATTCTTGTATTCTTCTTTATTTAGGGGGCAAATTTCTCATAATACAAGCCTTAAAAATGATAATATTGATTTACTTATAAAGTAATTCCTGTGTGTTAAATATATTTAATTAGTTATATTAGATATTTGATATCCTTTTTACATCTTGATTTGTGAAATTCTGAGAATGTGTTTAAAATACTATTAAATTCACTACTGTTTTATTTTAAATTTTCTTACTGAAATTTTAATCATTTTTTGATGTTAAAAATGTTTTTAAATTACATAAGCTATATATATAGCTTGTGTGTGGGTCTATAATAGAGTCAGAGAGCAAGTACAGGTGTACACTTTCAAAAACTAATTTTATATATACTCATTGTCCTCAATATGTAAATGTCTGTGCTTCAGCTGAGGTCTAGGCTACCTGACTTCAAAGTAGTCCCCCATAATCTTTTACTGGGCCTTGCTCCAAAGTACTGTACTTGATTGAATTTAAGATGACCATGAAACAACCAAATGTAAGTAGTTAAGCTGTTTGAAAGACAGTAGCTTATTCAGTAGGAAAGAATTGAGGTAAAACTTTAGATTTAGGAGGAAGTACCAAAGACAAATTAGTTAGAACATGATATTTCTTAAAAAAGGAAAGCCAATACAGTATTTATACATTTAACTAAGGGTACATGTGTCTAGCATTATGCTTATCAAAATCGCTAGTTGATCTCATTAAATAGTTTCATGTATAATTTCTTTAAAGTATTTAAATCTTATCCAATCATTCTTTTAAAGGTTCTAAAAGAAAATTGGAAAGATACAAGGCATTTTTTAAAAAGTACCAGAAGAAAAAGAAGATAATGGTATGGTATTTGTTTTCATCTTCCCTGAAAAATTGTATTTTCACAGAAAATATAATTACTATAATTTCATAGATAAGCACTGAGAGCATTTTTAACGTTTCCATTTAGTATTTTATTGCCTGTCTGTGTATCTGTTTATGTGTTTTAAAATAGGTGGACTCATATTCTTCTTTATACACTCAGTATTAGGGTGTTGGCATTTTCACGTTGCTATGTTACTTGAAGACTGAATGGATACAATCTGACCTCCAGCTATTTAATAATTTATAATAACCTACTGCACTATAACAATAGTGCAGATTCCATGTCAGTCCTCTTCCTTTAAAAAAATTAGCAATTCTAGGGGCACCTGGGTGGCTCAGTTGGTTGAGCGTCAGACTTCAGCTCAGGTCACGATCTTGCAGTCCGTGGGTTTGAGCCCTCTGTCAGGTCTGTGCTGACAGCTCAGAGCCTGGAGCCTGCTTCAGATTCTGTGTCTCCTCTCTCTCTGCACCTCCCCCACTCGCCCTCTGTCTCTCTGTCTCTCTCTCAGACATAAACATTAAACATTTTTTAAATTAGCAATTCTTTTTGATTACCTTTAGAATTGCTTTGTTAATTTTTTAAAAAATGTCTTTGAGAGTCTGTTTAGAATTACAATAGACTTCAAATGAACTTTTAGAAACTTAGTCCTTTTCAAAAATACATTCTAAAATTATATAATGTTAAAGTCATAAAGACTTTAACTGCCACCACTAGCCTATCCACCTCATTAAATGTTATTTTTTAAATTTCAAAATTACTTTGTTTTTCCTGATTATAATTAAGGTAGTAATTTTAGAGAATTAGAAGAAATAGATAAGCAATAGGAAGGATAAACACCCTAATTCTATCATTTATCAGTAAATCACATGTATCACACTATCTAGTTGTCACTTTCATTTTTCTTTTGTTTTAAACATAATTTAGAAAATTTGGATTAAGTTATATATTTCTAATTCATTAAGTGTATTATGAAATTTTCATCAATATTTTTCTTCACCATATTAAAAGTAAACTAATGTAATAGCCCTTTGGTTAGACAGTTAAGTTGGTTTTCATTATTCACTATTATTTACAAAGCTGCTCTGAACTTATTTGGAGCTAAAGATTGTGCTCATCCATGATTATTTAAATTTCCAGAAGTGGAACCACATGGGAAAAGAAATGTGAAAACCTAAGTGTTTTGATATATATTGCCAAATTATTCTCTAGAAAGGTGGTACCAATTTATATTTTTAACAATAAGGTTTGTGATTGATCCCTTACCCATTTTCCTTGTCAACATTTAATATTTTTGAATGTTTGCACAGTTGATTGGCATAAATGTTTCAATTGCATATGTTTTACTAATGAAGTTGATACTTTAGGTTTTTCTTAGTCTTTGTGTTTCTATTACTGTAAATTGCTTATTTATGAACTTTGGCCATGGGGGGGGTGTTCTTTTTTCATTTCTAAGAGCAGTTTCTGCTTTAAAAATATTAACTTTCAGTAATATGTGTTATACATATTATGCCACTTTCTTTGTTGCCTTTTAGCCCAAAGATGGTTTTTATTGTCATATAGAATTTTATATTTTTAATGGATCTATAATTTTCTATTGAAGTTTTCTGGCTTTTAGTGCCATAATATTTAATAAGGCTTTCTTCATCATAAGATCATACATATCTTCAACTGTGTTCTGTTGTATTATTCTTACAGATAATTGTGTGTGTGCTTAATTCTTTAATTCATCTTGTGTTCATTTTTATGTAAGGGAGTAAAACATAAGAATTTTATTTTAGATCATGAGTAAACTTGTGTGATTTTCTTCATATAAGTTCTAAACATTCCCTGTTAAATTTATTCTTAGGTATCTTAAATTTTAATTACTAGTGTCACTCAGATGTTTCTCCATTATGTTGTTAAGTGGGTTATTGTTGGTATATACGTAATTCTTTTTGGTATATGCATACTATTCACTAGTGTTAGTGGTTTCTCGTCTTTGATTTAGAAAGAATGATAGTAATTTGCTATTAAGCATCACTTTGAATGTTTAGAGAACAATCTTTTTAGATTAATAAAATTTATTTTTATTCCTAGTTTATTAAAGATAAGCGGATGTGATGTTGATAGAGATTATAGATATCTCCTTGATTAAGTACTTGAAAAAAAATCTCCATGGTTTGAAATGGAGAGGAAAATAATCCACTGTGATGATAGCAGAAGCTACTTTCAACCTTTAAGCTATGAATGTGTCAGATTACATTAGTAGCTTTTCAGAAGTTGAACCATTCTTATATTCCAATATTCTGTTCTTCTATTCTTACGATCTTGGGGTATTACATTACTGGATTGGATTTGCTATTATTTTGTGTGGATGTTTGCATCCATGTTTGATAAAATATGATTTTCTTTTGGTTTTCTTATGAAAATTGCACTAATCCCAGAAAATGAGTTACTTAGCTATATTTACCTTTCTAGTTTATAAACTATAGAATATAGTAGTTATATTGGGATATCATTTGTTCTAGATAGATAGGTAGATAGATAGTAGAGAGAGAGAGAGAGAGAGATATCATTTATCCTTCGGATGTTTGGCAAAAGTTAACTATGAACTTCTGCTAATTTAATTATTATTTATATTTTGCTGGGGGAATTAGGTAGGTTGACAAGAAAGCTATGTGGAAGTTAACAGATTTCATAAACATCAACTTGGGTAGATTGTCAAAACATAATATTGAGTGAAAGAAAGCAAATTACCCATTTATCAGTCAGTGGACATTTGGGCTCTCTCCATAATTTGGCTATTGTTAAAAATGCTGCTATAAACATTGGGGTGCATGTGCCCCATTAAATAAGTATTTTTATATCCTTTGGATAAATTCTTAATAGTTCAATTGCTGGTTCGTAGGGTAGTTCTATTTTTAATAGAACACCCCTTTCACCACATTCTCGCCAACATCTATTGTTTCCAAGTAGTTTGTTTTAGAGGAGATGTGGAATATACACAATGAAATACTACTTGGTGATGAAAAAGAATGAAATCTTGCCGTTTGTGACAATGTGGCTGGAACTAGAGGGTATTATGCCAAGTGAAATAAGTCAGAGAAAGACAGATAACATGATTTCACTCATATGTGGAATTTGAGAAACTCAACAGATGAACATAGGGGAAAGGAAGGAGAAATAAGATAAAAACAAAGAGGGAGGTAAACCATAAGAGTCTTAAATATAGAGAGCAGACTGAGGGTTGCTGGAGGGGAGGTGGTTAGGGGGATGAGTAAATGGGTGATGGGCATTAAAGAGGGAACTTTTTGGGATGAGCACTGGATGTTACATGTAAGAGATGAATCACTGAGTCTGCTTCTGTAGTCAGGACTCTACTGTATGTTAACAAACTTGAATTTAAATGAAAAAAAAAAAAGAAAATTACCAAATAATATGTACAGTTGATACCATTCCTTTAAGTTTTAAAAACACTCAAGAGGGGCGCCTGGGTGGCTTAGTCGGTTAAGCATCCGACTTTCGCTTAGGTCATGATCTTGCGGTTCGTGGGTTCAAGCCCCGCGTCGGGCTCTGTGCTGACTGCCAGCTCAGAGCCTGGAGCCTGTTTCAGTCTGTGACTCCCTCTCTCTCTGACCCTCCCCTGCTCACGCTGTCTCTCTCTCTCTCTCCTAGAAATAAATAAAACATTAAAAAAAAAATAAAAAAAAATAAAAACACTCAAGAAGTGTTTATATTCTTCATGTATAGGTACACACATTGGTAAAAGTAGGTTAATGGAATGGAAAGAATGCAAACCCACCCCACCCCCCCGCCCCCAAATAGTGACTATCTCAAGGAAGGGAACACATGAATAGAACTGTAGAGATCATGGTAAAAAGGGAACCTGAACTTTATACTTTATTATATAAACTTCACATTTTATTTTAAAAAATAGTCTTAAGCAGGGGCACCTATCATGATCTCACAGTTCATGAGTTTGAGCCCCACATCAGGCTCTGTGCTAACAGCTTGGAGCCTGGAGCTTGCCCCAGATTCTGTGTCTCCCTCTCTCTCTGCTTCTTCCCTGCTCATGCTCTGTCTCTCTCTCTCTCAAAAATAAACATTAAAAAAATAGTCTTAAACAAATACTAAATGTCAACAGTAATCCATTCTAGGTTGTGGGAACATGAAAACACTGGTAATTTCTTTTAATTTTCAAGGGAATTTCAAAAATTCTGACTTTTGAATTTTATCAGATAACTTTTGAGGATCTATTGCAATGACCTTTAGATGAATTACACTAACAAAAGTTTTAATTATTTTTATTTCTAAATGTGTTTTATTGGAGTTTTTAATCTAGATTTTAACATGTTTTATTTATATTTTTGTGGTATCTTTTCCAGGTTGTACAATCAAGAACTAGTTCTGTGTTACTATTACTGTGCTCCCTGAAAACTCCTAGTTTTTCTTTGCTTCCACCAGAATAAAGCCTGGACTTTGAGATTAACATTAACATATTTCTAAATCTGACCCCATCCTCATTGACTATTATATCTGTAGCTCTCAAACATACAGCCTTCTGTTTTATCATAATTCATTTTATTTTCTCTAAATAATCTTTCTTTTTTTGCTCCTTTTCCTAGTTTTTAAAATGTCAAAAATGTCATCCTCTTTCAGTTGGCAATCTGCTATCATTCTTTCAAATTTGTTTCCTTTGTCATTTCCTCTGATATATGTATTGTATAACATGTGTGTTTATGTATGTGATTTGCCTGTAAGCTTAGTTATTCCTGGAGGAAGTAGGGATGTGGAAATTAATCAACAATTTATCAACATGTCTAGATGATCAAAAACTAATGTATACAGAAGGCTACTTATTCTTTGTAAAGTAGTATGGTGGACATAGAGATGCACCACACAGACTGCCTGTCAAGGATCTGTTGTCCTAGCTGCTAAGATTGCTTTAGGGGTCACCATTAAGCTGTCAGCCCCTTTTAGGGGTCGCTTCACCTACAGAGAACTTCTCTTCTAAAGACATACTCTTCCAGGAACCACCTACATCCAGTGACTGATCAAGTTGGAGGCAGAAAGGCCTAGCTATTTCAACCCAATGCAGGACAACTGTGATGAGCCGTTTCAGCTCTCAAGCCCTTTATACAGTCCTTTGAGGTTGTTAGGCATATTTTTTAGCTGACTACCAACTTCCTTATTATGCCTCTCTCTTTGCCTTCCATAGATAGGGATCCCAAAGGCACTCTCAGTAGACATTCTGAACACTAAATTTCACCTCAGAGTCTTATTTCCCAGTGAGCCAAAAGTACAATACATAGTTTTATATTTCTGTTATAGCCCTTTATCCCTCGGTGTTTTGTTTGTATACATATCTGATTCCCCTCTTGAACTATGACTAGCTTGAGGGCAAGGAGCATCTTTGTATTCCTAGCATCTAGCACAGTAACAGTATTCTAGGCTTCAGTTGGAGATAGACACGTGCGCATGCACACACACCCATACAAGTTATCTGAATAAATTTACAAAATATAAAAATTTAATTTAGAATTTTTAAAGATTTTAATTTAAATGTTTTCCAGCTTTCACATGAAATGGAGACGAAGAAAACTGTAGAGGTATTTAAAATTTCTGTTCTATGAGATTATGTATCAAAAGTATTATGTCGAGGGGAGTCTGGGTGGCTCAGTCAGATAAGCATCTGACTCTTGGTTTCAGCTCAGGTCAGGGTCTCCCAGTTCGTGGATTCAAGCCCCGCATTAGACTTTAAGCTGACAGCTGCGGAGTCTGCTTGAGATTCTGTCTCCCTCTCTCTCTTCTGCCCCCCCCCCCTCAAAATAAATAAACATTTTAAAAAAGTATTATTTGGAAATAAAGAATGTTTACAGTAACATGGATGTAGCTATAACTATAGATGGAGCCCTGAGAGAAAGAGGTGGGTATAGGCATAGAAGCTTTCTCCTGTCTTTCTTTATGGGTAGTTTAGCTAAAATGTGAGTTATGTCAGTGTTGGTTCTGAAATATGATTTTGGTTTGCTTTTGGATTTGGCATATGAATAAGCCAGGGCTCTTAATTTCAGAGAATCAGGAAGTATGAAGATTTTTTAAGGTAGGATAAATATTTTTCACTTATTTTAAAAAGAGAAAGTAAAATAATTATGTTAGTGTATTATAGTTAAATATTTGTCTGTCTTCTGTAGTTCTGTGAGACTACTATATTGAAAAGGGTGAAGTAATTACTGTTCTGTGATACTTCCCACTTTCTAGGGTTGCATCTTCTCAGGATTCAAAACAAACGAGCTTACTAAACTACCCAGACATTTGGATGCTGAACGAATTTATCTTTTTATTTTAAAAGCCCATAACTTTGATGTACGTAAACATTGTTATTGTATGATACATTTTGAGAATATGATTTAATGAATCAGACCTTTATTTAAAGCTGTGACAAATTAGGTGTTAAGCATATGCATGATTGAATTTTGAGAGCATTATGTCTGGCAGGAAAAGACCAGTGATATTTAATACCCTGATCACCAGAAAAAAATGTACTCTGTTACTGCCTCAGGAGTCTGAGGTTGCTACTGTGCATTACCTTGGCATGTGACTGTAACAAGTGTTTTCCCCTCCCTCTCCTGCTTTATCAGCTCAAAATATTTTAGTCTGCTTATTTTGACCCCAAAATAACTCATGAGAGCCCTTCCCCACAACACCGCCTTTTGAGCCTCCAAGTATCTGGGGAATTTTTTAGTAGTATCTCTACAGGGTAGCCAATTGAAAAACTCAGGCATAGGAAGGTAACTAGATCATTGCCCATTGGTTGCCAAGGGTAGGATGAAAATTGTGTGGTTACTGATATTGATTTCCCACTTAATTTTTAGGCAGTCACCTAACAAGGTTTCCATTTCCTACAGGCTTAAACAATGCTCCCTGTACTCCCAAGCAGATTCCTTTCAGACAATTCTCTGAGATGGAGTTGGCCCCTGGTAGGCCCTCTTCCCCATCTTTCACCTCCAGCCTTCCTGTGCCTCTTTGTTTCTCAACACAAAATCCCTGTTTGTTTCCTCTCCTACAACAGTCCATCGAAGGAGCAAGATCAGCCATTAAGCCACTCTTAGTGGTTGCAGTATTCCAAGAAGTAGAGTCTGACTGACCTGGTTTGGATCTTCTGTTTACCCCTCAGGCAACTACAGAACACCTCAACTGACAACTCTAGATTCAGTACTGACACTCTTTCTTATTTTCCATGCTAATACAAATGTTTTGCAATTCTCTTTTATATTTTATGGGATTTTGGTGACAGTTAAGGCTTAGTCTGACCTCTTTATATGATCACCTGATCCCATTTTTGTAGAGAAATACTATAGGTGCTAATTGCAGTTATGCCCGGATCATGAGCATATTATATTTCTTTTCTCTGACTATATTTTCCACAGTTGTCTCAGGAAAAATATTTTGTTATAAAAAAATTTATAAATTGTGATTCAAATAAGTTTATGAATGTTCTAGATAATCTATAATATTCTTTCTAAATCTAACATTCCATGTTCTAAGAAGGTACTCCTGTATATTAAATATGGATCCATGTACATCTAACACAAATCACAAGGCAGTCACATAAACAAGGCATAAAAGTGCAGCTATGAGGAATTTTTAATATGGTTAATCTGGAGGAGGCTTGCATTATTGAAAGAAATAGGAAAGTGAAGAGTGGAAGTAGATATGGGTAGAGGGTGGATGGAGAATGACAAGCATCTGGGTATATCTTGGCATAGATACCCAGTGTTTTATTTGGTAAGATCCCTATCTGATTTCAAAAAAGAATTTAAATTGGTTTACTATAGCATGTACAATGCAATGGCATTAAGATAAATTACGAGATTAAAGAGAATAAGTTTAGAAAAATAAAAATAATCAGAGAAAGTTATTTCATAGAAATGCTTACAATAACAGACCAGGGGATTGAACTTATGGATCTGAAACTTGGAAAGAGAACGTTATAGGGCTACTGTCACATGACTGAAAGTATGGGAATCCATGGAATTGATGAATTCACCTAACCCCATCCAAACACGTTCCTTTGCATACAGTTATTAATTAAGTTCCTTGATGAGAGAAAGTGTACATTATCCCCTGTGCCACCGAAAACAGAAGTGTGGTTACAAGTAATGCTTAGTAAACATTTTATTGAATTAAAGTGAATGAAAAATGGCCTATATTTTGAATCAGAGGAGAAAGCTGAGCCACAGGCATACTGATATACATGAATAGAAATTCAAAAGAAAGTTAGAAGTAATTTTGTACAACCTAGACTCAGTGTTAGGAAAAAAAAGTTCCAAGTTAGATAATCTAGGTTTTAAGGTGATTTTATGTTTACTTGAATCAAAAAAAGTATCACAGAATGGTGGGAGGAGAGGATAGAACCTTTTAACTTATTCAGTTGTGCTTAGGGTTTTGGGGCAATTTCCATTTTTTTGGTGGTTTTGACTAAATATTGATATACTTTAAAGACTTTGAAATTTTACTTAAAAAGGAAGTTAGTGATACTAGACATAGCCAAAACTTAGAATAGAAGCAATCATGCAGTTAGTGTACACTAAAAAGCATCTTTGCTTAAAATTTGCAAATAATTTAAACAAAAGTGTTCAGCTTTTCCCTGTATTTCAGTTATTTGCCTTTTTTTTCTTTATGTACTTTACAAATTTCTTAGTAATTGAGAAGTACTGAATCTAAGCTGTTAAGTACTAAGTACTAAATTAAAGCTGTTACCATGTACTCCATACTATAATTAGGGCCCTGTGCCTCCACAGAATGCACGACAAGTAATCTTTTTGATATAAAAGTCTGCATGATGTCTTTTTGTAGACTTATGCTTGAGGAACAGGAATTCATACCTATGGATTTCATTAAAGTATGTCTTGAACTGTAATGGATCTGGCATTTAAAAACTTTTAGTAAATCACTAAAATAAAATGACCTATTGAATGTGCCTATTTAAACCAAGATTTATAATCACCATAAATAGATTTCAATTTATAGTCATCATGAATAGATCAATTGCTTGAAGAGTACACTCTGTTTAGATGGGGTCTAGACTTATGATGGGGCTTATTGGAGTAGAATTCCAAGATTGTTGGTATCTGTCTTTAGTATAAAAAGGAAATTGTAGCATTTATCTTGGAAGTTTTGCTGTTCTTGCTCTAGCCTGCAATGTCATTTTAGTAGCTACTAGGAAAATCTGACTGTTGAGCATATGAAATGTGGTTAGTGTAACTGAGATGAATTTTTTATTTTATTTCTTTTAATTAACATATATAAATTTTAAAACTGATGATTGATTCAGTTATTGAAAGCTTTCAGTTATAGTTAGAGCAAAATCACAACTATGTATTTTATGAAGTCTAAATACTGATCTAGTATTTATGATAAAAATTTATTGTTCAAATTGAGAAGTGCTATAAATATAAAATTTATACAGTATTTTAAATACCTACTCCCACAAAACAATGTAAAATATTTCATTAAGAATTTTTTACAACAAGGGCACCTTGGTGGCTCTTTTGGCTAAGCATCTGACTTCAGCTTAGGTCATGATCTCCTGGTGCGTGAGTTTGAGCCCTGCATTGGGCTCTGTACTGGCAGCTCAGAGCCTGGAGCCTGCTTCAGATTCTGTGTCTTCCTCTCTCTCTGCCCCTCACCCACTCACACATTCTCTCTCTCAAAAATAAACATTAAAAAAAAGAAATTTTTACAACAATTATATGTTGAAATGATAATACTTTAAATGTATTTAATGAAATACAATAGGTCATTGAAATTAATTTCATTTTCTACTTTTTTAAAGTGGCTACTAGAAAATTTAACATTATGTACAAGGCTCAACTAAATTTCTATTGAACAGTGCTAGTCTATAACCACTGAATAGATACTTTATATAGAGCCTATTTATATAAACATATTTTATAGTATATTTTAATTCGATCTCCATGTGTCTTTTTTTCCATAGGAAAAGGTTTTCAAAATCTGGAAGACCCATTTTCTCTCCGAAGCTTCTATTGCTCTTTTACATGATTCCTTTTGGTGGTGGTTTCTGCATAAATTTAAGGTATGGTGTTATTTTTTTTAACTTCTTTTTTTAATTTGCAGCACAACGAATTTTTTAGTAGAAGTAGCAGTGGTACAAAAAAAAAAAAAAAAGGTTTTTCTGGATCCTTTCACAGAACTTGGGTTTTAAGTGTTCTGCACATGTTGGAAATCCTATTTAAAATCTAGAGTTCTTTCTCGGGCACCTGGGTGGTTCAGCTGGCTAAGCATCTGACTTCTGCTCAGGTCATAATCTCATGGTCTGGGAGTTTGAGTCTTGCATCTGGCTCTACACTGACAGCACAGAGCCTGCATGGATTCTCTCTCTCCCTCTCTCTCTGCCCCTCCCCTGCTTGCCCATGCGCATGTGTGTTCTTTCTCCCTCTCTCAATAAATAAACTTTAAAAAAATCTAGAGGTCTTTCAGAGAAGTCAAAACTAATGTGGATTTCAAAGATACCAAGTCTTCATTAATCAGAAACAAATTGGTGAAATGAGTGTAGTGAATAATAAATTGTAGCTTAACTCAGTAATATAATATGCTGACAAACAGGTAAACAGAAAACCCACTGTAAATCAGTGACATTGAAGGAGTTTTCATTTGGAAAATAGTACACACCTAAGATGGATATAGGGTCTTTACTTGATTCAGAAAGGTAAAAAACTCTAATTAGGATTAAGAAGAGAGATATATTTGGATATCTGGGAGAGGTATCTGGGAAACAATAAGAGAATGGAAATAAAAAGCACATGAGTCTTAGAGGATATGGGAGCCTGAGAAAAGTAGTGAATACCAATGTCGTATGGCTTCTGGATCTGGGAGAGTGACAGATAGAGCAACCCTGAGGTCACAGTCTAATCATTAAGAAGATGTGCTACTCCATCAAAGAAGCTTAAAAATAGACTCCACTCTCTACCTTTCCCTAGCTCAAATTACTCACACAAAGCTGCTTATGGATTGTCACAGGAATTTTGTACCATGAGGAAATGGGTGTTAACCAGTTTTACATACAAACCATTCAGTTAGTGCTATGTGTTAGAATAATTAATGTAATTCTAGGTTAAGATTATCTGTCCTGTATTTCTGATATTGTTAGGAGCTCTGGATATAGCGTTATATAGGGAAATTTGTGAAATCAGGAGAATTTCATTACCTTAAATTTCCATCTCTAGATCTGGGTGCCGAATTATGTTTTTCTATGAAGCAGAGAAAACTTACATTCCCACTTTAATCTGTTAAGATTATATGTAACACGTTTTGAAGGAAACATAATCTAGCAGTGTTTCTAGTAATTGTTTTGTCAGGCAATAATAGTATTTTATTACTTTGAACAAACACACATTGTTTTTGGAATAACAAGGAATTAGAATTTTTTATCTTTAACCAAGCTATTCTCTAGAAACTAGTGATTTTCTGAAATTAAAATGTAATTAGTAATAATTTTAAAACATTATAATTTAATAACATTTCTAGTGTCATGATTTTTTACTTGTTTTGAGAAGGAATATATAATTCAGCCGAATCAGTGTTCTGCTAGTGTTCTAGGGAACTGAAGGGGGCAATTTAGGGATCCAGCTCAAAGTGAGGCAAACTTCCCATGATTTAATGCAAACAATTCTTCTTTCATCTGTTTTGTTCATTGCATTTTATCTATGATTTTTTTTCCTAAGAGAGTTTATTACATATACGTATTATATTGAAGCTAGTGAACTATATAAAGTGGGGATAGAGACATTCCTTGACTATTTGTTTTGTTAGATAAGCTCCTCTTTTGAGCTGTAATATTATTTTAGATGGATGCAAAATACATAAGTTCTATCTATCTTGGGGTACATTTTATGAAGAATAAATAGTATTGATTTTATACCTAGAATATAGTAAAACCACAAACCACTTTTTCAGTTGAATTACCAATCATTTACGTGACAAAATACATAATCATACTCTAGAATATAGCATGCTTCAGCATGGTGGCTCCAAAACATACTTCAGTAATTGTTGTATGATTAATATAAAAGCATATTTCCTTTATTTATTGCCTATGATTTAGTGGTAACTTGATCTAATAGAAAAAATATTGACCTTGGATCCAGAAAACTAGAATTTTAAATCTGGTATTCTGAAATAATTATCGTGAGACTTTGGGCTAGTCAAAACACTCTCTGAACTTCACTTATCTCATCTCTAAAAGATAAAACAGGTAGAAAATTACATATACCCTGCTGTTTTTCCCTAAAGTTGTTGTATTAAAAGTGACATGAATAAGAAGATGCCTAGTAAACTTTGAAACACTATACACTATATAAATAAAGTATGAGATTCAATACAGTAGAATTAAGAGATCTGACTTTCAAAAACAAATTTATCCTTATCCACTTAGTAAATAATATGTCCTAGAATAGTTGTTTACATCTCTAAATCTTTCATAAAATAAAAAAAATCACATGCTTTGTATGGGTTAAATGAGAAACTACACATAAAGTTGTTTACATGGAGTTATGTATATAGTGTTTAATGGATATATCTATCATCATTATTGTTATTATTATTATATTAATTGAGAGAACACAGTATTCCAAAAATTGGGAGCCAGTGTATAGGCTAATTAACAAAAGTTTCCCTGATGATGTTCAGCTGGTTAAGCATCTGACTTCTGCTCAGGTCATGATCTCATGATCTGGGAGTTTGAGTCTTGCATCTGGCTCTACACTGACAGCACAGAGCCTGCATGGATTCTCTCTCTCCCTGCCCCTCCCCTGCTTGCCCACGTACGTGTGTGTTCTCTCTCTCTCTCTCTCTCTCTCAATAAATAAACTTTTAAAAAATCTAGAGGTCTTTCAGAGAAGTTAAGACTAATGTGGATTTCAAAGATAACTTCAGTAATGGTATTGCAATATGCTTAATATTTTTAAAAATTGCCTTTGGGACTTGGGCTCAGTCCAAAAGATTCAGAAATTTGGAAAGCACATTATTCCCACCCATACAACAACAAGAAAAGCCATATATAACCAAGCAAAAATCTTAGCAGGAAAAAAGAGAGTAATTGTATTATGAAAAATTGGTCAATTCATCATTATTACTAATAGGAAAACTCATAAGTATACGAGATGTTTTAACACCTCATTCTCAATAATTGGTAGAATATACAGAAAGTAATGATACAGAAAACTTGAGCAACACTGTCAACCAGCTTGATCAATCTAATTGACATTTATTAAATATTTCTCCCAACACAGCAGAATACACATTTTTCTCAAGTACACATTAGACATTTACCCACTACTTTCTAGGCTAGGAAAACTTCCTAATATCCTAATAAATTTAAAATATTTAAGTCATAGAGAGTATGTTTTCTGACCAAAATGGAATTATGTTATAAATGAACAACAGAAAGCTACCCAGAATACCCTCAAATATTTATGGGGGTATAGCTCAGTGGTAGAGCATTTGACTGCAGAATATCCTCAAATATTTAGAAACTAAATAACATTCTTCTCAATAACCATGGGTGAATCCAGAAATAGAATTTGGAAAGTATTTTGAACTTAAGGAATATACACATTAACATTTGTGGGATTTAACTCAAGCAATATTTAGAAATTTAGAGCATTGAAATGTCTATATTAGAAATAAAGCTCTCAAAAACTATGACTTCAGCTTCTATCATAAGAAACTAGAAAAAGAGGAATAAATGAACCCAAAATAAGCAGAAGGAAATAGTAAAGATCAGACAGTAAACCAGTAAAAGTAAAAAGTGAAAAACAAAGAAGGAATTAAAATTAATGAAGCCAAGAGCTGGTCCTTCAGGAATAGTAAAAACAAGGTAATTTGAGAAGAATTGGAAGCTTGTATTTCACAGATAGTAATCATAGCAGAAATAAAACCCAAATACAGCTTAATACTTAACTTAATTAACTGAAACCCATAAAGGCTAACAAAGGAAGAGGCATACCTCTTTCCAAGCATAACTACCCTCAGTTTTACTGTCAAATGAAGATGCCTAGGTCTCAAAACAGAAATTACAGAATACGTGAAGAAGAAATAGAATTGCTGAGTTGTTAGGTATGAAAATCAACTTAAAAAGGTAATGCTAAATTGTTTCCAAGCTGAGTGTACAAATTAATACTCTCATCATTAATATATAAGAGCTTTAGAGGCGTCTTGGTGGCTCAGTCGGTTGAGCGTTCCACTTCAGCTAATGTCATGATCTCGAGGTTCACAAGTTTGAACCCTGCATCGGGCTCTGTGCTGACAGGTTGGAGCCTGGACCCTGCTTTGGATTCTGTGTCTCCCTCTCTCTCTCTGTCCCTCCCCCACTTGGACTCTGCACTCTGTCTCTAAAATTAATAAATAAACATTATCTATATATTATATGTATATAATATGTATACATACATAATATATATAGTCTCCCAAACAACCAATAGGTTGAAGAAGAAATCACAAGGAAATTATAAAATACCTTGAGACAAATGAAAATAAAAACATGACAAAACTTATGAGACATAGCAAAAACAATGCTAAGAGAAAATTTATAGCTGTAAACACATTTAAAAACAGTATCTCAAATCAACAACCAAACTTTACACATTAAGGAACTAGAAAAAGAACAACAAATTAAACCCTAACTAGCATAAAGAATTGAATAATAAAGATTATAATGGAGATAAATAAAATAGAGAATAGAAAGTCAATAGAGAAAATGAAAAAAAACTCAGAAAGTTAGTTCTTCACAAAGATCAATAAATGGACACACCTTAATTTAGATTGACTAAGAAAAAAAGAGAAGAGACTCAACTTACTAAGATCAGCGATGAAAGTGGGGATATTACTATTATCGAAGAAATAAAAAGAATTATAAGAGTACTTGAAAAAATATGTGATAACAAATTAAATAACCTATATGCATTGGACAAATTCCTAGAAACATATCCTCTTCCAAGACTGAATCATGAAGCAATTGACAATCTGAATAGACCTATAACTGACTAGTAAAGAGATTGAATCAGTAATTAGAAACCT